AGACTGAGCCTGGAACTGGGGACCCCGATTTAACTTATCTGAGTTTGTTCCCTCTGTAGTGGCTCTTTTCTCTCTGCATGCCCCTGGGGCCTATTCACTGGCGCTATTTGGGGCAACCTGGACAGGGGGTTTCAGCAGCCACCCACTTCAGGTCACCTCCTGGCATCGGCGTCTTCCCTAGCCACCGCCCACAGCTCTGGTACCTGCCCTTCCCGCTGCATTATGGGATCCTGCTTGTACTTTGCTCCTACCGACTCGAGTGATAACACTGAGGACTCGGGACCACCCAAGTACCACCCAGGTTAAGCCCACTGGCCGGGTTTAGATAAGCAGGCCCTCCCTGGTCACCAGCAGGCGGTGCAGGTTTGCCCCTGTTTGCCCTACAGCTTGTGCTGCGCTCCAGCCCTGCCCCCGCAGGTGGATCCTGAGTCCCACAGGCCCTGTGCTCGGCAGGGGCTGCAGAGGTAGACGTGTACGCGGGAGAGGCAATCAAGTTGGCCGCAGGGAGGCGGTCCCAAGTCCTTCCGTCTTCAACGAGGAGTGGCCACTTCCTGGGGTGGCCAGGGACAGTGGGGCGGGTGGGATTGCTGGAGGCTGTAGAGCTGCTCTCTACACGAGCGCAGACACGAGCGGAATGAGCCAGGCCCGGTCAGAAGGCGATCTGGCTGCACTGGAGGGTTGGCGGGTGGGGGGAGGAGGGGAAGACAGTTGGGCAGTGAGACGGGGCGCTGGACTTGCCCTGTTTTGATCGCCCCCACTGCCAGCTAAGGACCCGTGGGACAGACTCTTCCTACTGCGACCCAATGCCCGCTGGGTTCCCTGTGGTGAGAACAAGTTCTCAGGACTTCCCCTCCGGAGGGAACCTGTGTTTGTCATCGCGGGCCTTGTTTTCTTGGCCAGGAGGAATATTCTACCCCTGAGAGCGGGGGTACAGGCAGTGGGCTTGGACAGGCCATCTGAGCACAGAGCCTCAGGGCGTGGGCAGGCCATCATTTTCACAGTGGCCTGGGAAGCCCTGGGAAGAACCCGGTAGGATTCAGGGTTGGTCCATTCAGAAGAGTGAAGGAGGAAGGGGGTGCTGGGCCAGCAAAGTGGGTGCCAAACCCAGAGACACCCCCCATTCCTAGCTCCTCCCTTCAGGTCACCCTGTTACGCCCGCGAGCTGGCACTGGCCATCAGCACCCCATTCCTCATTCTTCCCCCCGCACAGGGCTCTCCCCGCCCTTGGCTGCCGTCTGCGCTGGCTCCTTCGCCGAGCTTTCAGCACCTGGCCGGAGGCGGGGAGCCGCCGCGCCCCGTCACCCTCCTCTCCTCTCCCCTGTCCTTTGCTTCTGCCAAGCCAGATGCCTCTCTTCTCCCTCTTAGGCCTCCTTCCTGCTCTTCCCTGTCTGAGCTACCTCGGCCTGAGCAGCTCCAGAAGGACCCTCTCCTCAACTTCGGGCCCCTCAGGTGCCACCCTCAGGAAGCCACACCTAATTCCCTCCCCTCCAGAGATGCTGCTCAAGCCTTTTCTTGCAGCCGCACCTCCCCTTGCATTCTTCTCATCACATTTTCTTCTCTGCTTTGCAGGAAAGTCCTTGACTACTTGCTTGTTTCCTCTACCCCATCCCAACCGGACAGAAAGCCCCTCCAGGGCAGGGAACACGTCCCTTGTGCTGGCTCTCCCACGAGGAAGCGTGCCCTTCCCAGCTGCCTGGGGACCATTAGTGACCTGCATCAAAGAGACAGCGAGGCCTGGCTGCTGGCAGCTCGGAATCTGGCTCCCGCGCTGAGGCTGCAGGTGTGCTCAGGCCCACTCTCGGTGCCGCCCTGACTTGCACCAAGCAGACACGCAGATTGCCTTCCCCAGAGTGCTGTCAGCCGCCAGAGCCCCAGGCAGCGTGGGAGGCATAGCTGTCTTCTATGGCTTTGCTGCATCCCTGCGTCCTGGACCCCTCAGGAACCAAGAGACACGGGTTCTAGATCTTTGTGGAATTTAGGAAACAGTACATCAGTGTAAAACATAAGCTCGAAATGAGTCATTCTCAGTTCTCAGACTGTTTTCATAAGTTTTTTAGGCTGTGTGAAATCTCACATTCGCTCTTTTTAGGACCAAAAGTGTCAGCTCTGTGCATTGGCCGGGAATCGAACCCGGGCCTCCCGCGTGGCAGGCGAGAATTCTACCACTGAACCACCAATGCTCCAGCTGTCAGCAGCTGTGTGAGCGCCTCCCTTTCACCCTGGTCTGTCTGCTGAATCACAGACTATAAGGCCAGGCTCAGATGCTGCCACATCAGCACAGCCACATAGGCTCCAGAGCAAGGGGCGGGGTGGGGGGAGGCGGGTTGTAGTTGAATTGCCTTCAAGTCTTTCCTTCTCTGTAGCAAATACATGTTGAAACTGGGTGCATTTCTCCTTTCTGATGTCTGGGTTCTCCCTTTCCAGGTTCATATGTGTGTGGAGCTATTTTACAGTTCTCAGGTTTCATCCCAGCTTCCTGCTGGAGATTGGCCAAGGCTGAGGGGGTCCAGCAGGAGCTCCTTCCTAAGCCAGGAGTCCTAGGTCCCATAGCCAGTAGTGCTTCTCCCAGAGAACCCAGCTCCCGTGCTCACTGAGCCCGGAAGTTCAGGCTTGCTGCAGGCCGGGCGTGGTTCCTTCGGCAGGATCTCTGGGAGGACTGGCAAAGGATCAGACAAAAAGAGCAGCTCTGCATTGGCCGGGAATCGAACCCGGGCCTCCCGCGTGGCAGGCGAGAATTCTACCACTGAACCACCAATGCTCCAGCTGTTTCTTGCTGCATCTGCAAGGCTTTTCTCATGGGTCTGTATCCGCTGCTGCTTGAGGAGGAGCTGCAGCAGATGGGCCTCACCTGACTGGTTGGTCCAGTTTGGAAGACCGGACAGGCTGTAAAACCCTTTTGACTGGGCTTTGCTACGCTGTGTGGGGAGTTGGGGCCTACAAAACTGGGGTGGAGCTCCATCCAGAGGCCCTTGATTCATCCATAGCTCTCAGTCCCCCGGTGTGGGCTTGGTGGAATCACCCCCTATAAAGATCAAAGGATGCAGCCCCTCACAGGCCATTTGTGCAGCCTTTCCTGGAACACCAGTCCCCTCAAGCCCTGGAGCCAGGCCTGTTTGGTTCACCTTTGTACGCACCCTGCCAGGCACATAAAGGTGCGCCATGCCACTTGCTGTGTTCAGTCTCTGCCAAACCCTGTCCAACCCTCTTGGGGATAACATTTTTTGCAAGAGCAGTCACCACCTCCAGGGACAGCGCCCCCTTTTTTTTTTAAACAACTCTGGTCACTAGCAGGTTCCTGAGACTTGGCTGGAATAGGATGGACTCCTTGATGCTGTCCTTAACACCCTTCAAGCCAACCTGAGGCCCCTGTTTATGCAGTGGGCAGAGTAGACCTGCACGGTCCACGTAGAGCCACTGCAGGGAGTCTGGGTGGCTACTTGGAAATGTCCGTAATCTCTAGCTCACCCTGTCCACCGTCGGCTGCTACTCTGGTATCAGTCCCCAGCGCCTGGATGATGGCGTGGCCTCCCCTCCCCTTCTGTCTCCTAACTGCTTGATGCACTTGGTTACCACGCTCTTCAAAAAACAAAGGAAACATCCCCGTTCCCCATGATGCAACCCATTCTCAGAATTCTGAGGGGCTCTGATGGCCGCAGCGGCCGGTGCTGGTTAACTCTCTACCACCATCATGTTTCCCGGGACCCACACCAACGTGGCTATTTCGCCCTCATTGCCTTTGCTCACACATTTTCTCCTGCCCAAAATGTCTCCTCTCCTCTCCTGCCTCCTTCAAGGTCAGGCTCAAATCCCACTTCTGGGAAGACACCCCTGACACCCAGGCCATGGCTCCACATCAGTTTTCTGGGCCTCGGACCACCGTTCCCCCAGGTGAGGCTTGTAACTGCAGAGACACTGTGAGCTCCTAATGGGCACAGGGTCTCAGCTTCGGTGTCCACTGGGCTCAAAACAGAGCAGGCCCCTGGCAGAACCAGGCCTCCCTCTGCTCTCCTCTGCTCCAGTCAGGTCTGCCCTGGGAGCATCCTTCAGGGAGACCCCAGGTGTGAGCACTTTCACAGATATGAAAGTGGCCTCCCTCAGCTTTACTCCCCAGAGCGAAACCACCCTTGTTACATGGGCTCCCGATCAGCTCTTCTGTTTAGTGTGAAGCAGCCCCTTCCCGCCCTCTCCTGCTGGCTCAGCCACATCTCAGGCCCTCCTTCCTCACCTGGACAGCTGCAGTTCTCCTCTGGGGTTTTTCTTGACATCAGTCTCCTGTCATACACCCCCCTGCCCTGGCCCAGCCTCTCCAGGCTGCCCCCAGAGGCACCTGATTAAAACATAGACCCGAGCACATCCCCTCACTGTGTCCAGCCATTCGTTCCGTGCACAGACTCTTCGTCCTCCCTTGATGCACGGTCTCCCCAGGGCTCTTTGGGCCAGACTCTTCCCTCTGCCCGAGATGCCCTAGGAAATGCCTGGTAATGTTTTTAAGTTCTGACTCAAATGGCAGCTCCCTGTCGGCCCGAGCAGATTAGCATGTGGTGTTCTTCTCACTTCTGTGGTGTCACTGCACCTTGTCACTACCCTTGCGTATTTGTGTGTGGGTCTTGCCTGTCAGACTGGAGCCCTGGAAATAATGACACAGAGAGAACCCCTTGGGTTACCTTAATGAAGGTGGGCTGGCTTGAATAAAGGCGGCTGATGAACAGAAAATGTGTTGCAGCTTTTGTCCCCTGCACAACCTCTATTTCCATCATCTCAGATTCCCAGAAGCAAGATAGCTTCCTTATTCCCTCGTATGCAAAGGGAAACTGAGAGCTGGAATAGGGGAACAGTCGTGACCTATCCGCAGCAGAACTGGGAAGGTCCTAGCTCAGATCCCTGACTCCCAGTTCTTCTTTCTGAACACCTCATCTCCCTCATCCCAGCCCCAAGCCCGGGAGCCACAGGCCTGCAACCCGATGCCGCGGCCCTGCAGCCTCTCTCTCTCCTTTCTCCAGGCTGGTCCGGGAGTTCGTGGCCCAGAACAACACAATGCAAATCAAGCATGTGATCCAGACCCTGTCTCAGGAGTTCGCTCTATCTCAGCACCCCCACAGCCGGAAAGGGGGCCTCATCGGCCTGGCCGCCTGCTCCATCGCGCTGGGCAAGGTGGGCCTTTCTCCCAGAGAGACAGACACCCGCTATGGCCTTGACTCTCCACCGAGACCCTGGAGGGCATCGCAGACCTGTGTTTGATTTCTGTTCTCTCCACTAAGGCCAGCGAGGCTGGCTTTGTGGCCCAGCAGCCTGGTGCCTCAGCCTAGCCCTGTGCTGGGAGGCTGACTTGCAAAGGGCCATGGAGCACAGACTTCACACAGAGGCCCGACTGAGCATCTCAAAGGGGGCTGGGGCTAGGGCACTGGGGTTGGATCCATTTAGAGCAGCTTCTCCTCCTCCCACCCCATGGCAGGACTCAGGGCTGTACCTGAAGGAGTTGATTGAGCCAGTGCTGACCTGCTTCAACGACACAGACAGCCGGCTACGCTACTACGCCTGTGAAGCCCTCTACAACATCGTCAAGGTGGCCCGCGGCGCTGTGCTGCCCCACTTCAACGTGCTATTTGACGGCCTGAGTAAGGTAACTACTCCTCCCAGCTGGGCTGGGCTCACCCTATCCACCAAACTTGACCTTCGGAACCTGGAATGCTTGGATCGCTTTTCCTAGCTGCAACTGGAGCAGATAAGCACGTGGCTGCAAGGAGCACCTGTTGTCTATTGAATCTAATAATTTTCTGAATGGGCTTGTGTGTATGCTTGTTTTTTTTCCTATTTCGCTAGTAATTTATTTTTGTTGCATTTTACAAAGTATTCATCCACCACAAATTTGGAGGAAAAAAACCGAGGTTGCAAAGTACCTACCTCCCAAGTGGGCCACCACCATGGTGACTCCACAGTATGTCTCCCCCGTGAGGAGCACGGAGCTTGTCAGCTCTAGAGAGAGCTCTGCCTAGAAAGGCCCCCTGGGACCTCCTCTGGGCCTTATGGAATCCCCTGGAGCTCTGCTGACCCTACTGTCAAGAATACCAGCCTTGAGGCTGCCTGGTTCCCTCCTCCAGGAGTGGAGAGAAGACCAGCATTTTGAGGCCAGAAACCCTGAGATCCTGTCTGTATAACTGGTCACCGAGGTCCCAAAACAGACGGGGAAGTTGCTGCTCTCAATTCCTTAGCCGGGCTCCATGTGACCCCATCCACCTCCCCTACTCTTTGCTTTAGTCTCTAAATGAGGTGCCCACTCTGTGTCCAGACTATGCCAAGGCCCAGGCCAAGCATTTCCGGTAGTCTCCCTGCCATAGGTAATGCACGTGTTTCTACTTCTATGTCCCCTGCAGTTGGCTGCGGACCCAGACCCCAATGTGAAGAGCGGATCTGAGCTCCTAGACCGCCTCTTAAAGGTATTCGTGCTTTGTCCTCACTTTGCTGATTCACACCTCTTTTTTCTGGGCAGCTTATAAATTCTGTTGTCAGAGATTTTTTAACTTGCATACAGTAAAGTTTGCTCTTTGGTGTCTAGTGGGAGGCAAGTGTATAGAGTCACGTCACCAATGCAATCAAAATGCAGGCCCTTCTCTCCCCGCAGCACCCTGTCGTGTTAGCCCCGCTTCCACACGCAGCCCCCAAACACAGGGAGTGGCTCTGCTCGGTGCCATGGGATGTTACCAGCCACACCACACATGTAGCCTTTTATTATATGATGAGCGCTCTGGGCTTTGGCTCCTGCTTTCAGCCCTTCATTCTGGCTTGTCCTTTGGCCTGAGAGAGCCTGGCTGCTGCCGGGACCTCTCCTAGCTGCCTTGGGATCTCCATCATCCTCGGTAGATGCCTGAGCCGGGAGCCAGCCCTGGGCCAGTAACTTGACCAGATCAGGCAGCCCCTGGCCCCCGGCTCACAGCAGCTCCCGTGCCTTTGACCCACAGGACATCGTGACAGAGAGCAGCAAGTTTGACCTGGTGGGCTTCATCCCCTTATTGCGGGAGAGGATCTACTCCAACAACCAGTATGCCCGGCAGTTCATCATCTCCTGGGTAAGGGCCAGCCCCCGGTGCTCTTTCTCTACCTGGAGGGGGCCGCGGGTCTAGTGTGGTTTCTCCGGCTCTCCCTGCCGCTTCCTCTGACTGCAAGGAAGCCTCATTGTTATCCCTCTAATAGCCAGTGGCAGATAACACAAACACATTTATCCAGCTTTGCCCCATATGTTTGCCCCTGAGAAGGATTCGGCTCTTCTTCCTCATCCCAGGAAACTCCTGACTCCTCTTCGTGCCCATAGTGTTCCTTCCAGCAGAGCCGCCTCTAGCTCCTCCGTCCTTTACCAGGCCTCTCCCTTTCCTCCAGGCACCTGAACCTCCTGGAGTTAAATTTCCATTTCCCTGCACATTCAACAAAATAACAACTGCCCGCCACCCTCCCCCTATGGGGAGTGTCCCTCTGGGCTGCCTTGGCAGGCCCCTTCTCTCTGGCCTGTCCCCAAAGACTGAGGATCCTCTAGCTGATTTCTCAAGACCGATTTCTTCCCCTGGGTCAGATCCTGGTTCTGGAGTCTGTGCCAGACATTAACCTGCTGGATTACCTGCCGGAGATCCTGGATGGACTTTTCCAGATCCTGGGCGATAATGGCAAAGAGATTCGGAAAATGTGAGTCGGAGGCAGTGGGCCCCCCAACCCAGCACATGGGCAGCAGCAGGAGATAACTCTTTTCTTCCTGGCTCATGTGCTTCCTGCTTGAGGAACTGGGCGCTCACCAGCCCCAGCCTCTGGCGGAGTCCCTATGACAAGCAGCCCCCTCGGGAGCACCCCAGCAGGGATGGGCTCAGGTGGAGGCTCCCACCACCTGAATGGCAGGTGCTGTTCCCTGCTCTCATCCATAGGTGTGAAGTGGTCCTTGGAGAATTCCTGAAAGAAATCAAGAAGAACCCGTCTAGTGTGAAGTTTGCTGAGATGGCCAACATCCTGGTGATCCACTGCCAGACCACAGGTTAGTGTGTGGCCCTGCAGCCCCACCATCTCTGGCTCAGAAGCCCCTTTGTCTCTCACCTTCTCCGAGAGAGTGCTGGTAGAGTGTGAGCCAGGGTGACAGTGGCTCCTGGAGCACTGGGGGGCAGATCTTGCAAGAGATCCAGGTAGCCCTTTCTCCTAGCCTGGCCCTGGAGGGGTGTGAGCTCTAGAGACCTTGCTGGTAGGTCTGGCACTAGCCCTGTGAGTCAAAACACTTAGAGGTTGGGGCCGTGTACCTGTTAGTTTCTGTTGAGTGTCTGACCACCATCCAATTGCTTAACACAACAGTCATTTATTATTAGTCTCTGGTCAGCTGGTTGCTGACCTGGGCTGGGTGTGATCACACACCCACAGTGAACATAGGATGAGCTCAGGCTGGATGATCTAGGATGGCCTCGCCCAAATCTAGCAGATGGCCAGTCGTCGCCTAGTCCATGTGTTACATCGTCCAGCAGGCTAGCCGGAGTGCATTCATAGGCATTAGCAAGGTTCCAGGAGACAAAGGAGAAGTGAGCAAGGCCTCTTGAATGAGGCATGCCATCCCATGCCACCTGCTGTTGGCCAAAGTAGCAGGCCACCCCAGAGCCAAGGCGTTGGGAAACAAACTGCACCCACTTAATGAGGGGCACTGCCAAGTTCCATAACATGGACACCGGGGTGGGTGGAGAATCCTGGCTGCTCTTACAGTCTGTTCTGTTCCAGCCTGGTAACATAGAAGCCAAAAGCAAGAGTGAGGAAACATGGGGGGACCTAGAAGCATTGCAAGCCCGTGGGTCACCCTGGTCTTCCAGTCGCATCCCGTGGGCCTGGTCAGTGGGAGGGAGTCTGGCTATTCGTGCTCACACTCCTAGAGCCCGCCATGCCTCTTCCAGATGATCTGATCCAGCTGACAGCCATGTGCTGGATGCGGGAGTTCATCCAGCTGGCCGGCCGGGTGATGCTGCCCTATTCTTCTGGGATCCTGACCGCCGTCTTGCCCTGCCTGGCTTATGATGACCGCAAGAAAAGTATCCTTCACTCTGGAGAGAGGAAGTAAGAGCAACCCCAAAAGAGGCTGTGAAGGTTCAGGACCCTGAAGTAGGGAATGGGGCTCCCTTAGAATCCATGCCCCGGCGCCTCGGGCAGGAGGCAGAGCTGAGCAAGGACAGGGGGATCCCTGCAGGGTCCACCAGGACCCAGAGCTCCCGCTGCTGTCCCCAACCTCACTTAAGATCTGGAGCAGCTCCTGGGTCCCGTACTCCAACCCTCTGAACGCACATGCTGAGCCGTGGTGGGGAAATCCTGTCGCTGAGAGTCTGCCGAGGAGGGGCCCAACAAGAAGTTAAAGGAGCATCTCGTACAGAGGCAGAGAATGGGGACTCGGTTCCAACTACCTGTTCGCCTGCTACCACCCCTGGGAGGCCCGAGCCCTGGGGTTTAGGGAAGACCCCCTGAGTGGAGCTGCTCCTTACATCAGTGGCCTCAGGCATCAAGGAGGTTGCCAATGTATGCAACCAGAGCCTGATGAAGCTGGTCACCCCTGAGGATGATGAGCCCGAGGAGCCGAAGTCTGTGGTGCCAAAGCAGGTAGACCCCAACCCTGATGACTCCCTGGCGAAGCAGGAAGGGACAGCTGGTGGTGAGTAGACCCTGCCCCCACCCCTCTCCTGCCGGGGTGCCCCAGGGAAGCGAGGTCCTAGAAATAGACTGGAGGCCTCATTTAACCTGGCAGGGCTACTTCCCATGTATTAACTTAATTCTGCTAACACCCTGAGGTGTGTATGAACTGTTGTTACCCCCGTTCCATAGTTGGGCACAGGGAACGTCCAGGGTGGCAGCTACTAAGTCAGGGACGGGATTTGAACCCTGGCTGGCAGCCTGCTGGCAGTTGCTTTTAACCCTTACTGCCTCAGAGACCACTAAGCCTTTCCTTAATCTTTTCCTGGGTTCAGCTATAGGAAATAGCTGTTTCCAACGCGAGACAGTTTGGAACATGGCAGTTCAGGCTGTAGGGTGGACTTGGGTCTTGGCTGGAGACATCCAGACACCCAGCTGGTCACTCTGAGGAAAGCGGGGCTTAAGAAAGTGCCAGCGGGCGTGTTTACTCAGCTCTGCTGCCAAAGACAGTGTCTTTAAAAGGGAAAGGACTGCTTTCTTCCCACGCCCCTTGACCATGATTATCTTGTATATCCATAATGTGATAAAAGCCACTTTTTTGCTGATTGGAGTTTGGCGCTCTAAATGTTATCTGGAGCTCTTTATTTTCGTAACTCCTTTGACACCTTTCCTCACTCTCAGTGATGGGCTTTGGGGTGATGGTCTCCTTTGAAGAATTAGCCGGAGAGTAAATTGTTGCACTGCCTACTCATATCTTAGGCTAACAAACTAAGGTCTGGAACCTTCTACCAGGAGCCAGCAGAATTTTTAAGACCTCTTCTCCCACTGCTGTTCTCAGGCTTTTTTCTGAACAGCTGAGCAGAATGTCAAGCACGCTTGTCCTGTGGGCCGCCTCCCATGGTTTGCCTGGTGCAGTCCAGCGGCTTTCCACACTGGATCTGTCTTAGGTGTCAGGTTACGCCTGTGCCATCAGCTACTGTGAGCCAGCGCAGCAAAACAGCTGGCGGCAGGGCAGCACTCAGCTGGAGCATTGGTGGTTCAGTGGTAGAATTCTCGCCTGCCACGCGGGAGGCCCGGGTTCGATTCCCGGCCAATGCACGTAGCAGCTGAAACCTTTTTGACCACTCCTTGAAAAAGAAAACTTGGGGCAATCACTTAGTATCGGCCTCCCACAGCAGGATCCTTCTTTGTGGGAAACTAGAAGAATCTCAAGGAGAGACGTATTTCTTGAGTTTTCACTGATATATGGGTATTCCATTTTATTTTAGCACCTTCTCATGTTTTGATTCCCATTTTAGGAAATTTGGAAAGTAGAAAAATTAGAAAAAAATAAAGCTGTCCCCAAGGGTGGTCAATATTATAATTTCACATCTTGAGATCATCCAATTTATGTAATTCCACATTCTGGTTTTGGTTTTTTTTTGCTTTTATGATAGGTATTTTTGGGGTTTCCTTTGGGCTTGACAAGTCATAGCATGCGAAAGTTTTGAATGTTTCATACTGACTTTGTGCCTCTCCCTCCAAAGTGGAACTATTCAGCCCCTGCCCCACCCTTTCTGCTAATGTGGCAGCGAGTAAAGCCCTCTGGAAAGGAAGCACTGTGTTCTGTGGGTCATAGCAGCTGCTGAAACCCTCCTGCCAGCTGGAGCATTGGTGGTTCAGTGGTAGAATTCTCGCCTGCCACGCGGGAGGCCCGGGTTCGATTCCCGGCCAATGCAGCCTTGTTCCCTTTTTAGATAGTTTTCCTAAGTATTCTTCAAACAGCTCCCAGCACAGCAGAGTCTTATCCGAAATCAGGAGACAGTCAGACAACTTGGCTCCAGATTTTACTGCCTCATAAACAGCATTTCAGCAGACACAAAGCTCACATTATAGTACTTTCCAGAGATGGCAACAGCTAATTTGGGGGCTCCACATCCATTCCCAGACCTGCTCAGCTTGTAACTAACCACCACTTTACTGAGGCACCCAGGAGAAGGTCCCTCAAACTAAGAGAGAGCAGTGATTTAGTTCATCAGTTGGCAGGTTCACGTAGCCCCCCTCTTACTCTGCCCTCTGCCTATGTTCCTTCCCGAATGCACCCTGCAGAAGGCAGAACCTCCTGCCTGGTCTCCCTCATCTAGTGGGTCCCTCCTGGCTCCGTCTGAGATGCTGCAGCCGCCACATACCACGTTCTTCAGAGCAAGGCCCACGGTGAGGCTTGTCAGCCAGGCCCTCTGCTCGAGCATGCACGAGCACACCTTAGCACATGTGAGCCCACGCACCCACACGCACACTCCCTCCCTCACCATGGGGCCCCAGTCAGGGCAGGGCCTCGTCTGTGCCATGCTGCTCCCCGCCCCCCACCTCCCCCTTCTCTCCCTCTCACTCACCCTTCCTCCCCCATCCTCCCCTGGCCTCATCACCCGAGGGCCTGCGCAGCAGAGTCCTTTCTCACATTCTGAGTTCCTGCGGCACTTGATGTGTCCCCCCCGGCTCCCTCCATGACGTTCCCTGACAGTCTTGGGTATCACTCTGGCTGCTGTGGTGAATGTGGACTTTAGCAGTCAAGAGCAGACCCAGAGAGATGAGGTGTGACAGGACGGTGGTCCCTGGGGGCGGAGTGGTGGACTTGGGGCCAAGCGGCCAATTCTGTATGTATTTCCCGTTAGAACGGACAAGGTGGCTGGTGGATTTGAGGTGAGGTGTGAGAAGGAAAGGAGTTGGCAGGTCTGGAAGGACGGAGTTGCCACTGCCTGAGCTGGAGGGGGCGAGGGAGAAGATGGGTTTGGGACAGAAACTCGATGAGCAAGTGGAGCTTCGAGCAAGTGCCCAGGGACAGGGTCTGTGCCTGAGGGGAGTCTTGGGGAGTCTCCATGAGATGGAGCCATGAGATGGGTGACAAGTTAAGGCCTGGACTCCAGGGCACCCTTTAGAAGGAGCGTCCCCCAGGATAGAAGGGAGCCCAGGAAGGGGAATGCTTGGCTGTGTCAGCTGCTGCTGGCAGGCAGGCAGGGCAGGAACAGAGCAGACAGTGGATTGAACGGTCAGGAGGTCTTTTGCGGTTGGACCAGCTGTTTGGGTACAGTCGTGGGGGCAAAGGCCTGCTGAGTGTGGGCTGAGGGAGAATGGGGAGGGGGCGTGCACACGGCAAGGATCAGAATCCTTTTGAAGAGTTTGCCTATAAGGGGGATGGAGCTTTTTTGTGAAGATGGTGCCAAAAGCAAAGAAAAAAAGCCCCCATCCATCCCAAAGCCAGAACTTTAGAGACCAAGAAAGCAGTGCTGAGAGGCATCCACAGCCACAAGAAAAAAAAAAATCCACATGTCTCCTACCGTCCAGAGGCCCAGACACTGTGACTCTGAGAGCAACTCAAATATCCCTAGAAGAGCACCCTGGGAGACATTGAGGGGACCAAAGTCAACACCCTGATCAGACCTGATGGAGAGAAGGCAGGGGTGCAACTCGCTCCTGACTGTGATGCTCTGAATGTCGGCCAACAAAATTGGGATCCTCTCAACTGAGTCTAGTTGGCCAGTTTGAAATATAATTTTTTTACCATTAAAAAAAAAAGAGGAACAGAAATGGGGTGATGACTGATAGGGAAAGTGGAGTGTTCTAGATCTTTAGGGAAAATGATAGCAGGTGTATTTGTGTCTCATTGCTGCTGTAACAAATTGGACACAGCATGAGGACAGTCGCGGACCACATTAGACTTCTGACCTCTGGTCTGTGTTGTGTTAAGCTACTTCTGTGGCAGTTTCTAGAGGCTGCCTGCATTCCTCAGCTCTTAACCCTGCCCTGCATGTTCATCAAAACCTAAAAGCAAGCGTAGTGTGGTGTGTGGGTGTGGGATCTGGAGAGACATTGCCTGTGTCCCACCATCCCACCGCTGACCAGCTGTGTGACCGAGTTAGTCACTCATCCTCTGTGCCTCAGTTTCCTACTTCACAAGGTGACTAAGAAGATTAAAGGCATTTATGAAAAGCCTAGAAAAAATGCCCAGTGCATAGAAAGTAACAGTAATGATGGAAGTATCCAGCACCTCACGTTTGTGAATTACTTCAACGTTTCTCCATCATGACCCATCTTCATATTTCTGTTCTCCCGTCCTTGGTCAGTTTGCAGCAAATTCCTGACATCAAGTCATTTCATCTGCAGATCTAAAAGATTAATGTTCCTTTTCCAGAAATCACCACAACACATCATCGCACCTCAGGAAAGGAAAACAAAATTAAGACATTGTTACTCTTCAATATCCAGTCGGGGTTTGTATTCCCCATGACTAGAGATTTGCTTTTTGCTTTTTCACAGCTTGAGTTAGGAGCAGAGAGGCCTCATTCATTATAGTTGCTGATGAGTACCCCAAGTTAGCGCCTTTTTTTTTCTTCCTTGCAGTTTGCCCATTAGGAAACTGGATCGTTTGTCCTGTGGAATTTCCCGTGGTGACTTCATCGTGGCCATCTGTCCCCTCCATTTCCTGTGAATCAGTCAGAGTTAACTATCAGGTTCAAGCTCCACATTTCTTGGCAAGGGCACTTGGAAAGGATTTCTTTTAAAAGAGACCCATGAGCAAAAATGATCAAAAAGAGCCACCCTATTTAAATTGAGGAGTGGTCTAGCCCAAAGCAGGCTAAAAGTTACAAGACACAGACTGGGAGGAGACATTTCGGTGCATTTCACCCTCAAACCCAAACCCCAGACAGAGTTCCTTTACATCAAGAAGCAAAGAATACCCCAGAGGAAGGAAAAGTTGCACGTCCATGAAGCTTATCTCCTGATGTGACAAACACACCAGGCGTCATCTTAAAACACCTAACAAACATTAGCACGTGTGTTTTCGTAACAAGCCTGTGGTGTGGGCACCGTGCTACCCTCTTGTACAGGCCGGAGATGGAAGTCAGATGGAAGCTTCCTAAATGGCACAGTGTCTCTTAAGATATCAGTGTCTCACCCTTGCACTCAGCAGCCCCCACCATCACCCCCATGAGCCTTGAGAAATACCCGCATCGTGCACAAGGATGTGAGAGTGCAAACATGTAGGCAGTCGAAATTAACTGGCAGCACAAGTCTGATAGCACATCATTTCTATAAATATAGCGGGAGGGAGGTCACCGGGGCACACAGCTGACCTGCCCAGACTTCCCCTGCACCTCCTCTCCCTCGAAGGCCCTGGTCCAGCTGACACCAGGCTGCTTGCTAGTCAGGCCCAGGCATCCCCAGCACCTACCCTAGGGAGCTGTGCCCCGTCCCCCGGGGCCTCTGGGGCAAGAGGAGGCAGGTGGCAGCTTGCAGTTCTCATGTTCAATAAAGACCCCATTTCTGGGGGAGGGGTGGTGTCCAATGCCCATACCTGGAACTACCCTGCGCTAAGACAGAGAACAAAGTGACAGAATACCCTGTGATTCCATTTATGTTCACAAAACAAAGAGGAGGATAGCAGAAGCTGGAGAGGGATCCTGCCTGCTCAGCCAAGTAGATCCCTGCACGTGGGGCAAAGTAAAACTGCAGCCATGGGAGAGAAGTGGGTTTGGCTTTGTTTTGTCTGGAATTTCTAGTCTAATTTAAAACTTTCAAGAGGTCAAAGTTTTTGTACCACTTGAACAACCGTGTATAATGGTGGTTTTCATTTGTAGCCCACAGAATAAATATCCATGGGTCTGTAACGATGGACCCATAATGATGGATGCATGGGTGGATGGCAGGCAGGCAAGGGACAACTTTTCCTTATAGAAGAATTCCAGGTGATCAATGTAGAAAAAAAAGAGGGAATAAGAAATCACCACTGAGCAAATGCCACAGTGCTAATTATAGGCAGGTTCTCTCATTGGATGCTAGAATCATTGGGGGGAAGTTTAAGGGGAAAAGTGTTATATGTCTAAGTGTCTTCCCCACAATATTCATTAATCGCAAAAAGAGAAGTAGTAACCTTACGGGGAGGACCCCTGCAGATGTGGTGAGGGTAATGGTCTCCAGCACAGTGACAGACATCAGGTCCCCTGGGGTGCCGGGCGGAGCAGGCGCATCACTTCAGGGCCTTCTTTCAAAAATGCAGAACCTCCACCTTAGAGTAGGAAGGCATGAGACAGACAGAAACTGGAAGACACTGCAGGGTGACCAGGCTGTACAGAAAGGCTGGGCAGCTGTCTCAGGCTGGGGGGCCAGAGGAGACAGGACAGCTGCAGGCAGGGCGTTCTGTCCGGGACAGGGCTAGAGTGGCACGGCAGGCACAGCCGCCCAGGTCCCTGCTCCTTTCCTAGTGTCCAGTGACCTCCAGCCACGTGTGCTGTTCCTGGGGGAACAGTGGACAGAGCTCACTTTTCACAACTTTTATGCAAATCTAAAATTACTTCAAAGTAAAAAAATTTTTCTTTTAAAAAGCAAACAGCTGGGCCTCCCCTGGTGGCGCTAGGCTGTTGAGCGCCACACTGTGAAGCTGTCCGCAGCCTCTGCAGAGCGGGTTTGATCCCAGCCAGCCGGCGAGGGTCCCACACAGCGCGGCAGACCTCTCCTGTCTCGCCCGCTGCTCCCCTCAGTGGTGTATGTCAGTGGATCTGCCTGTTCTGCTCCCTGCTCTGTCTCTGGTGAATCCTCCCACTCCCCTGCGCATCTGGCCTATACCCCGGTACTCACACCTTACCCCTGTAGCCCTTGGCGACCTCGACCCACTTTCTGGGTCTGGCGATAGGGACATGTGTGCGAGTGGACTCCACAAGGGCCCAGTGACTGCCTTCCCAGCTGAGGTTTCTGGGTGTGTCCATGGTGCAGGCTGTCGGCACCTCTGTCCTTTCACTGCCGGATCATAAAGAGCACGCAGTGTGTCCAAGACACATTTTGTGTGTCCACTTACCAGTGCAGAAATGTGGGTCGATGCCCCTGTGGGACATATAATGTCCCAATAAATAGTGCTGCTGAGAGCCTGGCGAACAAGTGTTCACGTGGCCACGAGTTCTCATTTCCCTTGGGCGTATACCTAGGAGTGGCAGTGCTGAGTCATGTGGTAACTGTTTGACCTTTGAAGAAATTGCCAGACTGCCCCCAGGGCACTTGCACGGTCTTGTCTGTCCCTTCCCCACCGAGGGGCAAGTGGGTTATGGTCCCCGCCAAGCCAGGCTACAGTCCTCACTCGCGGGTGTGCAGTAGCGTCAAATTGCAGATTTGACTTCTGATTCCCTGAGCGCTAGTGATCGTGAGTGTCCCAGAAGTCATTTTCCCCATTCTTTTTTGTTGCGTTTCTTCTTTTTGTTTTGTCTCTTTGGTTGGTTATTTTGTTTGTCAGAGTCATTTTTAACTCTCACCGCCCTCAGGCCAACAGACCCTTTGGGGATTTCCCAGGTGTGTACAGCACTTGGTGTCATGTGTCCACCCCCCTACCCCCCCCCCCCGCAAGATCACTGTGCCTCAAAACTTCTAAGCATGGGCACTGTCCCCAAAGCATGGAGGACGAGTAGGCCTCAAGTTCTCAGGGCTTCAGGGCCACATTTCTTTTCAAGAGGAATTGGGTGTGGGAGCTGGAGGGAGAATGTGTCCTTGTGACAGGGATCTTGTTCATTCAAAAGACCCCAGAACCTCTTAGCCTGATGCCTCATTCCTCTCCCTCCCTCCAGGAGTGCCAGATGGTTCCTGTGACTCCAGCTTCGGTAGTGGCATCAACGTCTTCAGTCCAGCCAGGTAAGTGGTTTCTTCCAGCCAGAGATGTTTGTTCAAAGCCAGAGATCTAGATCTCTCCTGGACTCGGGAGTCTGCAGCGAAGAGTCGAGGCCAGCTCTGCTCGGGGCCACTTACAGGGCCCAGGAGGATGCTGATGAGGGGATCTGAAGGGCACCGAGCAAGCCCATCCCACCAGTTCCGATGGCCACAGCCTCTGGGGAGGGATGGAAGCTGTCGGAGGTCAGTAGAAACAAGTTATAAAAGTTTGACCCGTGCCTGTGACTACAGGGAGCTGCTGCTGGCACAGCTGCCTGGCACCTTTTGTCAGGATGACGTGGCACTGACTAGGGAGGGGGCTGTGAGAGGACAGTGCCCGCACGGAGTCCCAGGCGCCCAGATGGGTGTGAGGGCACAGTCTTCCACATGGGGGCAGTGCAGGCCAAGCATTGAGACTGTCTCCTCCCTCCAGCCCACTCCTACACCCCGCAGGGTGCTGGCCTGCCCCTGGAGAGAGAATTGCCATGTTCTGTTCCCTGAACTAAGTCCCCTGAACTTGCCCCATGTCACTTTTTCTTTGGGCAGAATTGGCACCTGTGGGACCGGAATTGACGGCAATTCCCCCAAGGGGTTTTCTTCCCTAGGAACTCAGCACTGAGCCTGGGCCTGGGGGAACCAATCACTCAGAAAGGGAAAGTGCACTCAACCCCAAGAGGCTCTCCTCCCCCAACCCCGTCAGAGCCTTAGGATCGCTCCTCCATTTATATCATTTTGAGTCTCCAAGGACCATGTGCGTGTTGTCGTGTGCAAGTGCCGGTTGTAAATAAGGACTACTGCTCACACCTCTTCTAAGTTGCTGGAGCAGGCACATAAACATGATGCCTTGGTTTTCAGTGAGTTGTCACGCATTCGCAGAGCACCTGCCTGTGGTCAGCCCGACAGGGGCCAAGACAAAGATGCAGTTCCTGACCTTGAGGCTCTCTGGTGGGAGGCAGAAAAAGGGTAGTAGAGCTTGCTCTGGTGGGGACTCAGGGTGCTGGGGACAAGTGCAGGCACCTGGATGTGATGAACACAGCGCTTCCTAGGCTGGGCTCTGCCAGACTCTGTGTTGTCTCATTGGAGTTTGCCAGCATTTAAATCCTGTGGGGTCAGTAGTATCTCCATTTGAGGACTAAGGGAGGACTGACAATCAGGGACTGCTGTGTGGAGAATGGATTTGGGGGTGCTCCATAGGTGCAAGTTGCTAGAGGGCCACCACTGCCATCCCAGTAAGTAGTGACAGAGTTTAGGACTGAAGAGGTGGCAGAATATGGAGAAAGCTGGAGGCCTGAGGTCTGCTTTGAAGGCAGAATGAATAGGATTTGCTGATGGATGGGATGGAGCAAGAGGAGAGAAATAAGGGAAAGCATGTCTTCTAGACTTTAAGCCTTAGCCCAGTCCAGCTCACCTGGCACCGCTTCCCAAGCTGTGGTAGAAGGAGGAGCAGGTGGCTGCTGGGCCAGTCAGGAGCGCTGTGTGCTGTGCCAGGTCTAGACCTCATGGGAAAGGTCTAGAACTCAGAGGACAGAGATGCAGGGGAGTGGTGGATGCTGCAGAGGCAATCTGCTCTTGTTCTGAAGGCTGTAGAGCCAGAATGACACACAGGAGTGAAGGGAGCAAATGCATGATCCAGAAGACTCTGGCCACCATGGGGTGGGGGGAGGTGTGTGGATGAGGCCTGTTGAAGACTTGTCACTACAATCCAGGCTACGAGGTGTGGCCCTGCTCCAGGACTATGGCAGCGGGGGCAGGCAGAGGGCTAAGAGGAGGCAGAGATGGGGCTGTTAGTTCAGTCGGGCAGTTGTGGAAGCTTTGCTTCCTGGACCCCCAAGTCACCTGGAGGGTGTTACTATGTGCACAGGCCTCACCCTGCCCTGGGCTTTGCCAAAGGACCAAGGTGTCGCTGGTGACATTCAGAACAGGTGTCCTGGTGTAGCTGACTGCCCTGTACATAAGGCAAGTGGAAATATCTAGAGATCAGTGCTCCCAACTTTTAGCATCTACTGATTGAAAAAAATTATAATCATTTTCTATAAAAAGCAACTCTGGATTCAGGAACAGTTCTTATTTTAGTTTCACCTTAGTTCTCCTTTGAGTCAAGAAGCAGCATATGAAAACCATGAGGAGTTAGATGTGATCGAAATTAAGTGCTGCCTCCCAGAGAGAACCTCTGGAATTTACCGTTCTGTTTTGGTTCTATCAGAAGCATTTATTCACTAAATCGATGCTGTAAAAACCCCCAGGAGCACCGTGCGTGTGGAAAACGTATAGTCCATCCCCACGAGAGACGTTCCTTATGAGATGCTTCATGAGAAAACACTCCGGAAGATGGGGTTCTGCAGACACCTTGAAATAGCTCGTCTGCTCCCAGGAGTGACTCGTCTAGACTTTTTGGAATTGATACAGAAATGCATTTTACACTGCGAGTCAGCTCCGTTGTGTCTGCTAGGGTCAGGAAGCCAGGGGCTGAGATGTGCTGTCTCAGGCTCCAGACAAGCAGCTCAGGAGCTGCACACACCACGCAGTGCCCCTCTGGGAAGGCGGTGTCCCAGAGTCCTACTCCCCCAACCCACCATGCACAGAGCCCCACAGCTGCTGGCCCCATCACAGCCGCTGAGAGCAGCCTCCTCAGGGCGGGAACTGGGATCCTCCTTTCCCCAGGCACTGGGATCATCTCCCTGGTGTCCGGGGGCACACCTGCATCCCATGACCTGCACCTCCAGCCAGACCAGGGAGGTGACACCCAGGGAGTCGCCCCGGCTGACGGAATGCGTTCTCGGCGCTCAGCTTCAGGCCAGGCACAGTCCCTACACTCTCCACCTCTGCTCCCCGGTGTGTGCACTGAAGAGCTGGGTCGTGTGAGCCCAGAGGGCTGTGGAGTACAAAGTCCTTGTTGGCTGGAGCCGACAGCCGCCTCCCAGCCATCCGAGGTTCCCATATCTGGGAGGTTTGCTGGGTCTGGAGGCTGTCAGTTTCCATACCAGCTCCATGAAGTCCTCCTTTGTCATTTGGCCCTGGCACAGTGACACCTCACACAGGGGTGCCACCGTGGGCTGACACTTTCTGCCCTCAGTAGAGACACTGACCTGGCCAGAAGCATCTTGGGTGATTTAAATAGCGGAGGGAGCACCCAGCCTGGCATCTTGAGACCCTGTTTGGGACACTTGGATTTGAATGCCCCCACCCCTCACCTCCTCCCCCATCAACACCAGGCATGCCCTCTTACCCTCACGCAGGCTGTCTGACCTGCAGACAAGAAAATATGTTGAAAGGGCATGTGTGACAACCTTTCCTCCCTCTTCCTCCAGCACATGGCTGCAGGTCTAACCCGGCCAGAGAATGGACTGTCTGCCTGGGATTGTCATTCTGCCCCTGTCAGCTGATGGCTGGGAAGTGTACTGTTGTGGGCATCTTAGCCTGACCCACTGGGATGCTGTGTGGTGGGTGAGTCCTCTCTGGACTCAGCCTCCACAGGTTCAAATTGTGGTTCCACAATTCCTGGCTGTGTCACCTTGGACAGGTTACTGAGTGGCTCATGCCCTGGCCTTCAGAATGGGAGTAACATTGCTTCTGGCACAGGGCTTGGGGGGTAGTGAAAGAGGTGGTGCTGATACAGAGCTTGAAATAGCAGCCTGGCCCATTGATCCAAGAAGGTGAGTTGGCATTTTCGGTACTGCCACCATCATGGTGGTTCACCCGCACCAGTGGCCCAACTGTGGGGTGTGGTCAGGGAGTTGGACTTGGCACTGCCTTCTGCCCACCAGCAGCTCAAGTACAAACACATCCCTCCCACGCCATCCCTTCTGCTCACCATAGTCTAGTGGCACCCGCTCTCACCCCAAAACTCGCACCGTGGGGCATCTTCAAACCCTATTAAGTACCCGGTCCATTTAACACTGATAGCTCAGAATCGTACCTATTAAGGATTTACCTGAAATGAACTTCAAAGAGGCTGCAGGCAAATGAGGAAAGCTCGGGCGTGGAGCTCCTGATGCAAATGAATAATTGAGCAGCTGGAAATACCATGAAAGGCCATTTAGTAAGACAGACAACACACGCACCAGCCTGGGCCCTCGGGAACGCAGCCCCTGCTCTGCTCTGGCTTGGCACCTTTGGACAGTCCAGCACCCTGTGTTGTTAGGAAGGGAGACCGGCCCTGGCATACTAAGATTCTCTGGCCACACTGTCCACCCCTCCCCCCAAAATGCCAGCCTCTCTCCGGAGCCCAGGGAAGCCAGGGGTCCCCTGGAGCAAAGCACATTCTGAATTGGCTGTTTCTCATAGGTACAAGCAGGTTGCCTCCTCCCCAATTCAAACAGGAGTGTTTACACCTCACAGGCAACTCAGGGCCTCTCAGCCAGGCAGGCACAGTGCTCTGCCCAGTGGGCAAGGTGTGTCTGCTGAAGGCCTTTCCCCTGGGCCCCTGCACGTGCTGGTTTTGTTTTGGCAACAAACGATCTGTACTTAATGTCCTTAGGTTTGCTGGGGCCCAGCTGCGTGACACCCTAAAGATGGTCTCACTCCTAACCTGTCTCCAGAGCCGGGCTAGTGCTGGAAGAAGAAAGGGGGTGTGGGTGGGCACTCAGCACTCCTCCCTCAATATGGGCATTCTAGTTCCAGCCCTGGGGTGGGTAGCGGGAAGTGGAGGGAGAGATACAGGCTCCCAGGAGCCCCAGGGGAGGGGTCTGCCTGGGCTTCACCCCTACTCTTCTTGCTACTCTTGCCCACAGCACTGACAGGGCCCCGGTCACCCTCCACCTCGACGGGATTGTGCAGGTCCTGAACTGCCACCTCAGTGACATGGCCATCGGCATGATGACCAGGATTGCCGTCCTCAAGTGGCTATACCACCTCTACATCAAGACGCCCCGGAAGGTAAGCCTCATGGGCCTGGCCCAGGAGGCCCCTGGAGCCAGGGACTCCTTCCACATCCCCTTGGTTTTATGGGGACCTGCCCACAATTGCTGGGGTTCTGGTCATTGCAGAGAAGGGACAGTTGTTTAAAGAGTCCTTGGAGCCTGGGTGCGAAGGAGGGAGGTGGCCATGCAGTGGGAACCTGTCCTGCCACTGGAGGCTCATGAGCTCCAACATCTCTGCCCTCCAGATGTTCCGGCACACGGACAGCCTCTTCCCCATTCTCCTGCAGACGTTATCAGATGAATCGGATGAGGTAGGTCACTAATAGCCCCTTCTTTCTGTGCCACTGGCTACCCCACCTCCACTTTTGAATAACTGAGGGATCTGATAATTGAGCAGCATGCACTGTTGTTCTTGATCTCTTAAATCAACACCCAAAAGCATCCTGCTTGTCTTACCTGGTAAGGTGAATCCTGTGGAGGGAAACCCTGTTCAGAGCTCTTGGCTTTGGGAGCAAGGACCTTCCTCTTTACCTGAGCCCTTCTGAAGAGCACGCTGACACCAAGTGTCAGCTACAAAGCCAGTCTACCAGAGGAACTTGCCCTTTAAAGGCGATGGAGAGTGGTGGTAGAGGCACACAGGGGCTGGCCCTGCTTTACTGGCCCTGCTAAACTCAGCTCTCTGCATCCCCATCTCCTCTGGGAAGTTAACCCAGAGCCCAAGCAGCAGGAGAAACCACGAGAGGGGAGGAGAGCTAGGCCCTGGGTCCTTCGGTCTTCTGGGGTTGGGTCCCTGCACACCTGGCCCCACACCAGTCTCCTTGTTCCACTGCTGGACCTTCAGGTTGGGTGATTCTTCCTAGGACTGCCCTGCCACCCAGCCAAGGGGCAGGATTTGTGCCTGGGTGTTGCCATCCGCCAGGGTGGCATCGCTTCCTTCTGCCCATCCCAGCTCCAGGCTACACGTCAGACACTGGCAGTCTGTGACCCCTGGCCCTCTCCTTCCCTCCACTGGGTTCTGGGCAGAGCTGTGTCCTCCACAAAGCAACAGGCCCTCACCTCTATAGACCTCCCCCTGCCTGGTGGGGATGTGGGAGTCGACATGGACTGGGGGTGACAGGGAGAAGGGAGCTGCCTGTGCAGTGACACACCCCAGTCTTCCCTGAGGTGGTACCAGGCTTTGAGGGCCCCACAACTGCAATTGGAAACTGAAGGGGAATGCTAACAGGCGGGTCGAGGCCTATAGGTCCTCTAAGGATAGGGACATGCAGACATACCACACCCGCTCGCACCCCTCACCTCCAGTGTGGGAGGCCCAGCTGGACCTGGCCCAGTTCTGCCTGAGTTGCTCGTGACTCATCCACCACACGGCGCTGGCCCTCATTTCAACACAGAAAGGAAGTGAGGAGCTTAGCCGATTGGTTCCTTCCCTAGGACTTAACTGGAAGCAGCTGAGTTTTCAGTCCTTTGAATAGGGTGGTTTAATCCCATCTGCACTCTGCCTGAGCGTGGGTCCCGCATGCGGGTGCACTTAAAGGCAGGAGATGCAGGCCATTAACAGCCCCGCTCAGACTGTGGAAACTCCATTTGTTGAAGTGCAAGGTTGTCGGAGCTTTGTGGCGCACCTCGTGAGCCTCCAGCAGGGGGAGGATTGCAGCTCCTCTTGGGGACAGTTGAGGGGGTGGAGGAGGGGGTACTGTAACCGGTGAGAGTCCCTGCTTTCCTGTCTCTCTGCTGGAGGGATTTGAGGAGCGTGAAAATCAGCAGGGAATCATGAATCTGGCACCCGTTCTGGACCCCGGCTAACCCTGCTTTGCTGTCTGTGCCCCCCATCCCACTGTCCTCTGCACCCTCTTTCTGCCATTTCTGAAGCAGAGACCCTGCTGGGGACTCTGCCTCCAGCAAAGCAGAGGCCTGGTCCTGCTTCGGGGCCTGAACCCCCAGGCCCCCACACTTGGCCTGGGCACAGGGGCAGCACTGGCTCCTGGGCTCTGTATGGGCTCTGTATGGGCTTATTACCCCCTCATTCTTCAACATCATGGATCCACTGCCCGCAGGCCTGCCCCGAATGCTTCCAAGTGCCCTCTGCCCTCACACACACAGGGAGGCCTTGTGGGTCTCCTCCCGGTCTGGGTGGGGCAGGTCTGACTTACCTGCGGCCCCAGCCCCTGGCTCAGCAGGGACTCAGCTGTTGCTGAGAAAGGGGAGCGACAGAGGGAAGCACAGGGTGGGACAGGTGACAGCGCTTGAGTGCCGGGTCCTACCTGGGGGAGGCAGGGTGCAGCACAGAGGGGTGGGAGAAAAGCAGCCAGTAACTGTCCCTGATAAGCCACTGCTCGAGGAGCTCCATGGCCTGAAAGGGTGAGCAGCCTCGGGTGGAGAGGACCCCGGAGAAGTGACAACCGGGACAGGGTAGGATGACGCACAAGTGTGACCTTGGGAAAAGGAACCTCAGGAGAGGGTGTTCGTTATATCTTCTTTTTTGCTGTTGTTAGATAAAATTGGTTTCAGTTTGTCTACAAGGCTGTGCGCCGGTCAAACCCTCACCACTGACTACCTGCAGTCCATCATCAGCCCACAGAACCCTGAGTGGCCTCATCTTGACTGGGGTCACCATACTGTACCCGGCTGATCTGCGTGGAGCACAGGGCTACCCCCAGGGCCCCCCCACCAGCCTCTGTGGCGCTTCCCTGGTCCTGGACCAGAGATTTCAGTCGCCCTGCTCATTCTTGGCTTGGGCTCTGTACATTCTTCTGCCTCTTGGGCATCTGCCAGGGGCCAACACCAGTCCTGGGGTACACCTATGGGTAAAGCAGGCACAAAGATGAGTGGGGAGCAGAAAGGGACGGGTCACCCCCTACAAAGGGATCAGAGCCCTGCTGGAGTCACTGGGGCAGGTGAGTTACACACACACTCACACACACCAGCGTGTGAATGTGTCCTCCCCAGCGAGGCACCTCCCCACTCACTCTTGAAACCCAGTGAGAAGCAGGAGATGGGGTTTGCAATGATACGAGGGCCCAGAGTAGTGGGATGACTGGGGGACCTTGCAACACCCAGCAATGAGGGCCACACACCTGACTGTCCTCTGTTCCCAACTCTGCATCTTCCTGGGAAGAACCTGGCAGGCTGGGGAAGCCCTGCCCCACTTGGATGCTGTGGAAGTAGCTGAGAATTGAAGAGCGTGTCTGGAAGTTAGGGAGTCCCCTATCAGACTCCCAGTGTGCAGAGGCATCTGCCTTGTGGCCGCCACGCTCAGCAGTGTGACTGTAGGATCTCTCAGGTGGACACTGGGGCCACACCCAAACATTCCCAAGATGTACACCACACAGACTGCACCCTAGTGCCTGAGGGCCCATCTCTTGGGGACCCCACAGATATCCACTCAGGACTGGAGAAGAAAGGTCATGGAAAGTAGGTGGCCAGGCCTAGGCTCCAGCTTGTTACTCTGCTGCCTGTGTCCTTCTTGTCTGTTCTCCTCAATCTCTACCCTTTCTCGAACATTCTGAATTCTTTCATTACCACAGTTGGCAGCTCTTACCAGCCACTCGTCCTCCTTAAATCCCGCTCTGCCCTCTGGAGGACTTTCTCCGTCTCCACTCCCTGTTGTTCATCTCTGCTTTTACCCCCCAGGTTATCCTGAAGAATCTAGAGGTTTTGGCAGAAATTGCTTCCTCCCCCGCAGGCCAGACGGATGACCCAGGCCCCGTTGATGGCCCTGAACTCCGGGTCAGCCACTCAGACCTTCAGGTGCCCACCCCTGGCAGAACCAGCCTACTGAGCTCGCCCAGTAAGTCTGCCCCTGGGGGTTGGGGCCTTGGGCCCCTGGGAAAGCTGGTGCCCGGGTCCTGGATGGTCCCTCCAGCATCTGCCCTGAGAACATCTGGTCTGGAGCTGCCAGAGCTGCAGGACAACCTGGGGGGTGGGTGGGCCCTATAGGTCTGACCTCGCTTCGCTGCCCACCAGTCACAGGAGGCCCTGGCATTGAAGCTGTGTCCCCAGTGATGCCGGAAGTATCAGCCCCTGCAGCGGGGGGTCCCATAGGACCCCAGCTCCAGACCACCTCCTCTGTGCATGCTCCACCTGCAGCCATTCCCCAACTTCCTGCTGTGTCTGATGAAGCAAGGAAGGAGTAGGGGGCTCCTGTGGCACCCCAGCTTCCTTCTCTTGTTTTCCCAGGAAGCAGTGGTTTCCCTGCCAACGACTGTTTCCTCTGGGCAATCAGAAGTCATGGTCAGGAGACCCCACATCCTGACTCTGGGACCCCTCCTGGGGGTTCCCACTCTCTGTCCATAGCCCCAGGGTCCTTCTTCATTCTGTGGCCCCAAGTGAGCAGTCAGGGGTCAGTCTGAAGTCCCTGACAGGGGACAAGAAAAAGGTTGAGCACAGAATTGGCCTTTGTCAGGAGCTCCTCCCACCACCTGTACATTCGGTCTTAAAGGCAGGTGGCACAGACTGAAGCTTCAGCAGGGAAGTGGGCCCAGCACATGCCTGTAACTGCCGTATGGGTGTCAAGTTGCCAAAGCCAGGTCCCCATCCCACGGGCCACTTGCCTCCTCGGCATTCCCTCTCGCCTGACCTGGCACATCCATCCCTCCTCCAGCACAGAGCAGGTGGGCTCACTTCACCCCTCCCCCTCATTCCTGACCTGCACAGTTGACCCTGCTTGGAAGAGACCACCACTGGCAGGCAGGAGGGGAGCGGCCTGGGTGGCAGCTCACTGGGAAGCCAGTGGAGGGACACGTGTCCCTGTCACCCTAGCCTGCGTTGGCGAAATGAGACAAAAACAAATGCTTCGTTGTTTTTTTCCTATGACTTGCAACTTTTGTGCTTTTTCTGCCATCTAATCAGGAGCAAGAAGGGCAGACCCTCACCATGCACTGGGGAGAGGGTGATATTGGGAGTTTATATCCCATCAGGGAACCAAAACTGATGTTAGGCAATACAAGCAGAGCCCAGGAGCCCCAGATTAAGAGGGAAAAACCCATGTTGCCCATCCTAGGGTTCCTGCTGCCCACATGCACAAAGGCAAAGTTATCAGACTCCAGTGTACTCAAATGTTTTTAATCAGGGAGAGGTTTAAATGATACAGTGAAAGAGCGAAAGGGAGTAGGGAAGAGAAGAGTTCCCAAATCCTCACACTCCCAGATCACCCGTCCCTTTGTGGGCAAAAGCCCAGGCAAACACACAGGCCCCAGAGCAGAACTGCCAGGAGGACAAGTCCAGCAGGAAGCTTAGGCAGCGCCCAGAGGCTGGGAAAGAAAGAAATGAGAGAAAGAACTGCACAAGCTGAATCACCCGAGGGTCAAGGCAGTGGCTGCCCTGTCTGTGAAGAGAGAGGCGGCTCGTTCAGGCTACACTGAAGCCGCAGAAGGAAGCGGACACAGGAGGCGCCTCTTCCCCCTAGTGTTCACTTCTCTCTCCCTGTTCAGAAATGTCCAGGCTGCTCCTTGAGGCTCAAGGGTCGGCTCCCCTTAGCGGAGTTAGGAGTTTTATAGGATTGCTGGCGTGGGGGCAGGTGGGGGCAGCGAGGGGTGTCTGGAGCCTGGTCTCCATGGGACCAGTATAGGTTCATGACCAGATCGTGCCTTTTCAGATTGTGCCTCTTCGTGGGTCACGTGTTCACAAATGGTGGCCGGGGACCACCTGGGATGGGGATTTTATTATGTGAATGGATGTTCCTGCACCCAAGGAAATGTTAGTCCCTGAGGGTCCTTGCGCATGTATAACTTTTAACTAGGTTGGGCCCGAACGGGCACCTGACTCCTGGGCGGTTCTGAAGCGGGGCTCACTCGGGTCTCCCTGGTGACACAGCTGTGCCCTGGGCACCCAAACTCAGTCAGATCCCCCTCTCCCTGCGTGGTTATGCTTGACCCTTGCAGCTTCTCCGGGACGAGCATGGCAGGGCGCATGTTTCAAGGGCCCGTCTGAGGGTGAGTTGAGCTGCTCCATGTGAAGGGGCCATACGGGCACGGGACACAGCGGCGCTGAGTACGCGCCGCAGCCGCCGGGGGTTAAGGAGCCGCACTGGGGAGACGCTGGAGAAGGGATGTGAACGCCCAGTTTGAAGATGAGCGAGGCCAGACTGGTGTCCAGTGAGATGGCCATAGTGACTGGGACTGTTATGTACGTGCCAGCGGCTGAGAGGGTAGATCCTCCATGTCCTCAGACGCAACGGAAATGGTAGCTCTGTGGGGTGGTGGAGGGAGGTGTTAGCTGCAGTTGTAACATTAAAGAGTATATGTGTGTGTGTGTATGTACATGTGTATTCAGTGCATTGCGCACCATAAACTTAGACATCACTATCAGTTACTTTTCAATCAATGTGGAAAGTTATTTAAGTATAAAAAGTAAGTAATGCCCCCATATGTGGAAAGATACTGTGACACCATTAACGGGGAGGAAAGGCCTAAATGTAAGAGCTCAAACTGAAACTCTCCGAAGAAAGCAGTGACTCTCTGTGACCTTGGATGAGGTAATGTTTCATCGATAACACCAAAGCACAAGCAACCCAAGAAAGAATAGAGGAATTGAACTTCATCGAAATTGAAAATTTTGTGTTTCAAAGAACACCATCAATGAATCCTCTCACCCCCCACACCTCTGGCCTACACCTAAATTCTTCTACACAAAAATAAAGAAAGAACACCATTAAGAAAATGTGATGCTGTCACCCAGAAAAGAGAAAATATTTTGCAAATCAAATTCCCAAAAGACTTGTACCGAAGAACTCTTGCAATTCAACAATAAATACACAAAACCCAATTTGAAAATAGCCCGAGGACTTGAGTGGACGTTTCTCCAAAGCAGGTAGACAAATAGCCCGTAAGCACGTGGGGAGATGCTCAGTGTCCCCCCTCCTCAGGGACAGGCGCTCACACCCGCTCCACACCCACGAGGGGGGCTGTCACAGGAAGTCAGATCATCACAGTGTTGGGGCTGTGGGGAAACCGGAATCCCCTCGATGGCTGGTAGGAAAGTGCAGCTCAGTGGAAAACGGCCTGACAGTTCCTCCAAAGTGAGCCATCCAGCTGCATTGTGATCCAGAACCTGCACTCCTGGGTACATAACAAAGTAAAACGACCATGTGTTCATACAGAGACGTCTGTGTTCCCAGCAGCTTTTTCTTAGCAGCCAAAAAGTGGAAGCAACCAAATGACCACGAGCTGATGAATGGATCGAATATGGTACCTGCAGGCAATGGAATATGATTCAGCCGGAAAAGTGAATAAAGGACAGATGCGCACTGCCTCGAGCACGAACCCTGAAAATGCTACACCACATGAAAGAAGCCACACAGCGTGCGATTCCATTTCCATGAAGTGTCCAGAGTGAGCAGATCCTAGAGACTGTGGTTTCATGGTTGCCAGGGATCGGGGGGTGACAGCAAGTGGGTGTGGGGTCTTTAGGGGGTGATGACAATGACCTGGAGTTAGTGGTGACTGATGAGTTACTTTGTGAATATACTGGAAACCCCTGAATGGTGTACTTCAGGAGTGCACGTCATGACATGTGAATTGTATCTCAATTAAGGACAGATGTTGTTCAAAAAAAAGTCCTGTTAATGACTCAGACTGATAGACAAGGATCGCTAACGTCCCTAACACCTCAACAGCCGTTGTGTTGAGGCCATGTGTGTTGGGGGGGGCATGTGGGGTGACCCCCGAGGGTGAGCACACGTCACCAGGATGACCAGGTCCCCACCCGCTTCCCTCCGTGCTGGATGCTTTACAGAGGCGGCAGGGGCAAGCGGGCTGTGTAGACCCTTGGTATTTTTTCAGCTGGGACACATGCCAGAGGGAGACCCCAAAAGTGCTTCTGGTTCTAAAGCCCACTCAGAGCTGTGAAAGTCTCCGGATGTGACTCTAAAGGAGCATCTTTGCCTGAAGAATATCTGGTTTCAAAACACAGGGTGAAGGCGACGCACGGTGACGTTTGTCAGCGAGTGCTGTCTCCTCCGTGGGCGTTCCCACTTACCCTGCTCCCCGTTCACGCGGGAGAGGAGCTGCCCTTTGCCTCGGTGGGTTGGGGTCTTGCGTCTTTCCCCTTTTCCTCTTGGGCTCGTCGTGAGTCCTTAACCGACGGAGATAAAGACCAAGTGTAGTTCATTTCCTGGGGGCGGCCGTGGGGTGCTTTAACTCCAGTGCTGGCAGCGTCCCCTTGCCCTGGGCCCGCGGGGGGCAGGTGATGGGGTGCGCAGGGAGCAGGGGGTGTGTGCTTGTTCCCGTGTGCACCGTCCCTGCTCTCCTGCCGTCCACCACGGCCCCTGGTGGGAGAGTCGCCCTCGACCTGCCCCCCACACACACCTTTTCATGTTCCCAGGTTTCTGTTCTCAGGGCTCCGTCTCTGAGGACACGCAGCGACATCACAACCCTGTCCTCTCTCCACAGGTACCAAAGGCTTAGAATGTTCTCCCTCCACTCCCACCATGAACTCCTACTTCTATAAGTTCATGATCAACCTTCTCAAGAGGTTCAGCAGTGAACGGAAGCTGCTGGAGGTCAGAGGCGCCTTCATCATCAGGTCAGCCGCGTCCCTCCTCGGCCCCTGGCTCCCACCTCGCTCTCCCTCCTCCTCTGCCTGGTCTTAGAAGAAGCATAGAAGGTTCTGCCCCCACCCCGGTGGCTGGTGCTGCCAGCTCGAGGCGGATCAGCGTCGCCATCTTGCCAGCAAATGAATTTGTTTCTCAGCTGTGAGTTGCGGTTTCCCCGTGGGGTCTGGTGTCCTTGTCGACACCCGTGTAGGCGTCATGAGAGGAAAGCGGTGGAGCTGAGTAGGCTGGGACCCGGGCTGTGCGTGGGGGTCCAGCCGCCAGCTTGGGGTTTGCCCACGGTCGGTAGCAGCAGTGACTTCCACAGAGCCGGACCCTTGAATCATGTCAGCCTGTTCACAGGCACCAGCCCCAGTGTCTCAGTGCTTCTAGAACTGTCACCACCAGTCGCATGGCCACACCTGGTGCTTTACCTGCTGTGCGGAAGTGTGACCTGCAGGTGACCCAAGTCTGGCTGGGGCACAGGTTTCTCCAGGTTCCCAGCAAAGCCGGGCAGAGGAGTTTTCCCCAATAGTCTCAGCTGCCCTTTGCCCCTGGTCTCAGCCCTGGTCTGTGAGGTCAGAAGGAGGCTTGGAGTGAAGTGAGTGAAGTGAAGTGGAGTGAAGGTGGGGCCTCCCCCTTGACCAGAGAAGTCAGGGCCCCTGGGGTGATGTCTGATTAGAGCCGCCCAAGGTGCTGGAGAGCTTTCTGCCCCGATCCTGTGCCAGGAGGGGCCAGAGGCCATCCTGAGGAGGCTGGGGGTTGAGGAGGAATCCAGCAGAGGGCCCAGCCTTGCTGAGGCTTCAAGGCTGGAACAAACAGGGAGCGTCATTCTGATATAAACCAGAAGGCGAGGGAGGAGTCAGCCCCGCGGCCACGGCGAGGGCCTGAGCAGGGGTGGTGTGGCCAGATGCTGCTTGTAGAGACTGCTGTGCTGTGGGGGACAGTGGGTGGGGGACCGGTTGGGCGGCGACTGTCCCTGTGATACCTGGAAGCGGCTTGGTGGGGGCCGGGAGAGGCAGCAGGAGTCCAGAATTGGAAGGAAGTAGAACTGATCGGTGACAGTGCGTGAAGGGCCAGGGAGTCGCGTGAGCAGCTGGGTGGGTGGTGGGACAGTCCCTGAGAGGGGAGCCCTGGAAGAGAGCAGGAGGGAGGAGGCTCCCAGTGGGCGTACATTGTGTGGGGGCCACCAAGGGAGAGATGTCGTAGAAGCAGACCCGGCCCCGCATCTCAGGAGAGGGACCCAGGCCTGAGGTACTAATCTGGAATTAAGGGCATAGTCATTCATTCATTCTTCTATTTGCTCATTCAGTCATTCATTTCCTCAACAGATTTTACTGAATGCTGGCTCTGCAGGTACACTCTGGAGATGCCTGCGCTGAGGCGTTTTCATTCTTAGGTCGTTAGGATGGTCAGTGGGTGAGGGCCTGAGGCAGGCTCTTTGGAGCTCCAGTGTGTAAACGTGCAGGAGGGAGAAGCCAGGAAAGAAAGCTGAGAAGGCCCCAGAGGTGGAGGGGAGGGGAGGGAAGAGGATATGGCAGGAGCCAGTGAGGGGAGATGAGGTCCCTGGGTTCTAGGGGGAGCTGTGGCCAGGGTGCGTGAAGGAGTAGGGGACAGAACGTGGAGGGGGCAGAACTGACACTGCATCCCAACCTGCCTGAAGGAGGGTAAGGAGAGCCCCAGCACCCTTGCCCAGGGCATCCTGGGGACAGGTTTGTCTTGAGAGAAAGAAAAATATCAGGACCACAAAGTGCCAGGCCATCAAGAGGAATGGGCCTCTGAAGTCCCCGACCCCCAAAAGCTGTCCCAGAGGTATTGGGATATCGCCTCCCTCTTGTTCTGAGCTCTTACAGAGCAGGGTATCTCAACCTCTGGGGCCCAGGAATTCATTGTGGGGCTGCTCTGCGTCTCATAGGATATTGAGCAGAGCCCCCAAGCCCTCCCCACTAGATGCAGTCTCCAGTCCAATTCCACCCCCAATTCTACTGGTGTCTCAGCTCTTCAGCTGTGCACCCTGCCTATGAGTATTTCCCGTCCCCTGACCCTCCACAGGAAGACATGTAATCTTCCTGTCTGGGGAAGCCCGAGGGGAGGGGGCCATGGAGAAGCCACTGGCCCTTCATGTCTCTGCTCCCCCTTCTGCCTGTGGTGCCTGAAATAGCAACAGGAGCACCCTCTGTGCCCCCAGCCCCAACCCCGCAGCCCAAGGTCACTCTGCCCCCCATAGGGCCCTGGGCTGGTGTGACCCGGCAGCTGCCCGGTGTTATCTGTCCCTGCTCGGCTGCCGAGATGTCTGTAATTAGAGCTCTTAGAAGGTCGCAGCTTTCATTTCATTTGTGTGGTGTTTGAGAAAAGTTCCAGCCTCTCTTCACATGTTCAGTCCTCCCAAGCCAGCCAGGGGGCTGCTGAGAGCACAGGCAGCCATCGGGTGTGCCCCCAGGCCCAGCAGGATGGCAAAGAGAGAAGGGCCAGGCCACAAGAGGCGAGACCAGAAAGGAAGGCAGGACCACAGACCTGGACAGGGGTGGGGCTGAGAGGGTGGGCAGGGCAGAGGTGGCACCTGACCAGAGGGCACGGCCTCTTGGGTCCAGGAGCGCTGGCGCAGCCCCTGAGATTGTCCCTCCACTGCCAGCACCAGCTCCTAGTGTCCCTCTTCCTTGGGCTTGACCTTGCTCTGTCCTGCCCCTCAAAGGCCATCCAGAAAGGCAGCCTGAGACCCTTTGCTCTTAGCCTTGGACGGAGTTTGCATGAGGCAAAGGGACTTTGGGAGCAGCGGGAAGGTGGCCTTCCCTGCTGTGGTGGTGTGTAGGGCCTGACACCCCGCCCTGGAGGAGGCGACTCCCCTCTCTGGGGTAGCGCGGGCTGCGCCTCCATGGAGAGGATGCCCTCTCCTGCGCTCAGCCTCCCTGGAGCAGGTGCCTCTGCCTGAGCAGCCTGGCCCGCTCTCCTGCTCGTATTATGCTAATCACTCTCACAAACAGGCAGACTTAGGAGGAGGCTCGCCTGGTTCTAGATGAAGCCTACGCCTTTGAAGCAAAGAGCTGCAGTAGCTAAAAATATCATTTCCCGGCTGTTGATCCTCTCATTTGTAAGATGCATGTTTCCATTGTCAATTCTGGAAATCTGCTGCAGCCCCACGCGGAGCCCGCAGCCCTGACATCTCGGCCGCCAGAGCCCGCTCTCCCCTGCCCCCTGCACGCTCTCCCCAGGGCAGCCCAGCACGCTCCCCGCAGGGGGAACTCGCGCGATGCCTCCTTGTTTATCGGGAAAAATACCCTTTGAGCCAAAATAAGCGTTGAAAGAGCGCAGAAGAGGATAAAATGTGAAGGACCCTTCACGGCCACCTCCCTCCCCAGGCGAAGCCTGTTTCCAGATTCAGGTATTTCCTTCCCAAACCGTGTGTTTGCGTTTGTAAATACACAGCCGGTTTGGTGTCGGTTGTGGTTGTGGTTTCCAGCACCGAATTCTGAGTCAGAACTGTCCCGGCCCCTCGGCCCTGAACTCCTGGGACACGTCTCCAGCCTCCAGGCCGCAGCCAGGGCTCAGGGCCGCGCTCCCTCCCCACCAGGCCAGGCCACGGCGCCGAACCCCATCACACACGCTTTCCTTGGAGGTGGCCGTCTGGTCTGCCCCAGGGGCAGCGATGTGGAAACCAGAAGTAGCCAAAGTGGGAGACGGAAGGTACCAGGTAGTCCTGAGGCCACAGAGTAGGGCAGGAAGGACCTAGCAGGGCCACAGGGTCGGGAGGGCTTCTGGGCACGTTTAGAGGTGACCTTTTGGGATCAGGTGAGGCCCTTCCCTGGGCCCAGCCCACCTGGGGACCCCCAAATGAAATGCACGACTCCAGTCAGTGGCACAAACAGGGCGGGTTCCTGTGGGCTGGACGGGCTGGGGCCTGGTCCCGCTGTTGGCACAGGGAGAGGGCCCTGCAGACCCAGGCTGCCCACCCGGCCTGGAGCATGGCCACTGAGGCTGACTGAGTTCTCTGTCCATCCCGGGGCCTTTGGGCCCGAGGCCAGCGGGACCGATACAGGACCAGACTGAACAGACAGGCAGGAGGAGGGCGCTCCCCACTTTCACGCCATCCCTCAACACTGGCATCTCTTCCCACTCTCAGGGGATCCAGGGTCCCTCCCCGCAGGCCACCGCAACAGCTTCTTGCTGAGGACAGTCTAGAACCAGAGGCTGCGGGAGATGAGGGCGCCAGCCGCCACCCCCTCCGAACCCCTTGAATCCCTTTCCGCCTCCCTGTTGGGTAGCCTGGTGGGGCCGGCGCGCCCTTCCCCTACCAGCCCTCAGCTCTGGGCTGGGTGTCCGATGGCCGATGGTCGGGACAGACAGGCGCCAGGGTCAGCAGGGCTTTACTTGGCAACAAGAGCTGGAGGGGAGGCCCAGCGGGAGCTGCAGGCGCTTCCAGAGCAAATGGCCCAGGGGCCTGGGGAGGATCCAAGGACAGCAGCTGGGGGAGGCTGCTCTGGCCGCAGTAACTCTGCTGGTGCTTGTCAAAGGGTTCAGGGAGTGGGGCCATGGGAAGGCGTCTTATACCTTCTCTGAACGCGCAGGCGGAGTCCTGGCCCGCACCTCTGTACTAGCCCAGGTTCAGTCCCCTGGTCCCCCTGCTGGGCCTGTCCTCTCAGGAACTCCCCCTTCAACACTCCCACTAAAAGCCTGGCCTCCTCAGCAGTCCCTGTATCCCACCAAGTCCCCCTGTAACCCTGTCCCTCATATCCTGCCACCAAGGGTTCAGTCAACCAAATATTTCCATGAATGCCTAACTAGAGCAGGCCGGGTCCAGGCAGGCTCACCATCTGACAGAAAGGTGCCCCTCCCGCAGCTAACTAGAGAACGTGCAACAGCGTGCTCTCTGGCCAAGGACAGAGAGCCTCGCCCGCCCGAGGCAGTGGCTGGCCAGGTCCCTGGAGAGAAGCGCTTGGGGCCTCTTTCCCACCCCTGCAGGCTGAAGAACCGCCCTGGGCTCCCTGCTGGCCCGGCCTGGGTGCCGGCCTCTCCCGGGCCTCCTCCCACAGGGCGGGCAGCTGCTGTTTCCTGCTCACGGGCCTTCTCCTGCCCAGCCTAGGGCTGCGGGCGTGACCGGCCAGTCTAGGGTCACCTGCAAGGCCAGCTGATGCCCTCCCGGTCTCACTGGCTCCGGCCCATGTGTCACCTGAAGCAGGAGCTGTGGGTGGGTGCCAGGCTGGGATTCAGGGGAGCCCCTTCGCTGTGGCCCCCCTGAGCTCGGGGCCAGAGCCTGGTGCAGGGCGGATGCTTGGCCACTGGTGGTGGTTCAGGGACAGTGACACGAAGCTGACACTGGCCTGGCAGGCATGAGGCCTCTTCCAGGTGGGCACTGCTCCAGCGAGCCTTCCCCTGTCTCTAGTGGAGACCTCGACCTTGTGAGGCTGCCCAGGGGAGGAGCATCTCCTTGGGTGAGGTAGCATCATCTCCGCCCATTTCGGGGTGTGGCCCTCCCTCATTTGAGTTTCAGGGTGCTCCTGAGGGAGTTGCGGTGGTAGGGACAGCACACACATGGCCAGTGTGTGTGTAACCCATCACACGAAAATAAGTTCCATCTGGAGAGTAAATATGGGGCGGGGCCCGCAGTGCCTTGGCATTCGGGTGGGAGGGGGCGGCACATGGTTGTGAAAAGTAGAGAATCTGGACTGTAGCTCAGGGCTCCTGTGAGGACTTTAGTAGCCAGAGTCCCACTGTGTGTCTGCGAATTCCATTTTCTGGACTAGGGCGTGATGTGGGGGTAAGACTGTGGGGCTCTGGAGATGCACATTGGTGGGGCCCCTGGTCTGCTGTGAACAACACCCCGGTGGCCCCCCTCGGGCCTCAGAGCCAGGTTCCAGCACAGCCCCAGGAGAGAGCAGCTTCCCTCAGGGGCTGCCGGCCAGGACAGGGGGCCAGCCTGGGCCGTGACCTCCGTCCACCCGTCTTCCAGGCAGCTGTGCCTCCTGCTGAACGCTGAGAACATCTTCCACTCGATGGCAGACATCTTGCTCCGAGAGGAGGACCTCAAGTTCGCCTCCACCATGGTGCACACCCTCAACACCATCCTGCTCACCTCCTCTGAGCTCTTCCAGCTCAGGAACCAGCTCAAGGACCTGAAGACTCTGGTAAGCCGAGTCCATGGCCCGGGTCCTGCGTGCACGCGCCAGAGGCTGGCGGGAGGAGGGGCAGTGGGGAGCTCCCTGGTCTGTACAGCACCGACCCCCTGGGCGGGCTGTGTGGCTGCGCCCACCCTGGCAGCAAGTCACGGCATGTTTCCGTGGGGCCTCCCGCCAGAGGTGTCCCCCACAGAAGGCTCCTCCCTGTCCCCCGGGTCCAGCGCCTCTCCCACTCACTGACACCCCACCCCACGCCACCCCACACACAGATGGGCTCGGCGCTAGGCCTACCCCGTGGACCCTGTGGGGGGCGTGCCGGCTGGGTCAGGCCTCCGGGTTATATCTTGGCCACGGGTCAGGGGCTAACACTCTCCTTGGCTCTGCCCGCTCTCCCCGGCTCGTACTCTGCCCTGCGGGGCACCCGTTATAAGTCAGGGCTTGGTGCTGCCTGTCCCAGGCTGTGGGTGAAGACCCGCCAGGGCTGGGAGGCGCTCGCCCGGCAGCCCAACAGAGCAGGACCAGGAATGTGGGTCTCAGGCCAAGCGGCTAGAACGTTCCAGGCCAGCCCTCCTTCCTCCTGTGGCTCCTTCCAGACATTCGCAGAGGCCTTAAGAATTTCCCTCAGGCAGGGGCTCCCGAGTGTGGGCTCCCTCCCTGCGGTTCCCGAGTGAGAGTGAGTTCTAGGGAGTGGGGGTGTGCTGGAGAGCAGGGAGCCATGGCCTTTGAGGATGAGCACACACGCTGCCCAGACGGCTGTCCCCTGTGCCCTGCTGTCCCGCCGGCCGCGCCCCCCCAGGACCACAGAGTTCTGGGAAGGACAATTACCGCCATTTGCTGAGGGCAGAAACGCCAGCACAAAGGAGAGTCTCCCTCCCGCCCAGGCCCTCGCTGCCACCACCACGTGGCATGTGGGACTGGGAGGTAATGACAGGGTCTGAGGAGGCGCTGTCAGCATTTCCTGTGTGACAGCTCCTTCCCCGTGGGACTGGCTCCTGGTGCTCTGAAAGGACCAGAGACCTGGAACTGGGCCCTTTCCTCCACACAGCTCCCCGGGGGACCCCGGCAGAATCACTGCTCCCTCTCTCTCCCCCTCAGGAGAGCCAGAACCTCTTCTGCTGCCTCTACCGCTCCTGGTGCCACAACCCCGTCACCACCGTGTCCCTCTGCTTCCTCACCCAGAACTACCGGCACGCCTACGACCTCATCCAGAAGTTGTATCCTTCACCTCAGGGCGGGGTGTGCCGGGGAGAGCACGATGGCTCAAACAGGGTCAGCCAGGGCCTGGTGGAAGGGGCTGGCCCTGAAGAGACCTGTGAACCGGGAATTGGGCTAAGCTGGCCCAGCCCAGAGGTGCTGATTAGGGGTTTGGTGGGTCCTTCTAATTGTGGTACCCCAGGAAGGATGTGGTGTGCTCTCTGCTTCTGTAGACACTGCAGTCCACCTTCAAGCCAGACCCAGAACTGGGGGCCTTCGTGCCAACGCCTGGGAGCAGAGGGGGGTTACATGACAGTGGGTAGGCCTAGGTGCCAGCTGGAGCTCACACATCAGGTGTGTTGCTCGTGATTTGCTCAGGGACCTTCAGGTCCTCAGATCCAGAGCCCAGCAGTCTCAGCACATGACACATGGAGGGGAATCTAGCTGAATGGGCGGCCTCAGAAGAGTAGAAGACACCCCCTACCCCATCCCACCCACCACCACAGCACACCTCAGGGCCTGCCTTAGCAAAAGGCACCCACGTCAGATTTGCTTTAAAATACCCTGAGGCAAACCAGCCTCTTCAGTGAATGTCTGGTATGTGGGTCTTGGTCGGAGCACTACTTAGGATGCAAAATTGGTGGCCTTAGGCCTCCCCTGGTGGCGCAGCGGTTGAGCGCTGGGTTGCGAGGCTGCCTGCAGCCTCTGCAGCGCCAGTTCGATCCCCGGCCATCGGCGAGGGTCCCACAAAAAAAAAAAAAAAAAAAAAAAGGCGGCAGAGGGGGCCTGGGGGCAGGAGAGCAAGGCCCTGAGTGCCTTGGTGAGGATCAGCTGTGACCTGGCTCCTTACAGGTGCCTGCTCTGCTTCCACAGCCAAGACCAGGATTTGCTCCTCTCAGCCTCTGGTGTGGCCCAGAGATCACAGGCCACACACACACACCCCAGCCCCCACTCGGGCTGCCCACGCTCCCCACAACCCTAGTGTTGGCCCTGCTGACCAGCATCTACTCAGGCAGGTCCAGGGGCCTCCTGCCCAGCCCTCCTGCCTCAGGCTACAGGGCCCTGCCTGACAAGAGTCTCACAGAGCCAAAAGGACGCAGAGGTGAGAGCTACAGAAGCGGACCTGGTGCCCATGCAGCGGCCCAGCTGAGCTGCTTTTCCTACAGCGGAGCAGGAAAGCAAAGAGGAGAACAGACTGATGTGCTTTATAGGCCACGCCCTGCTCAGGGTCTGTGCTAGGAAGCAGGACATGCTCCAGACTGTACTAAGCCACAGGTCCAGCCCCCGGGCCCCTTCTGCCGCCTTTCAAGGCAGGCTCTCTGAACCCCAACCCCAGCTGCGCCCCACCGGGAGAGGGCTGTCCTGGGCCTGTGGTAACTTTCCTTGACTGCCCACTCAGTGGGGACCTGGAGGTGACCGTGGATTTCCTCACAGAGGTGGACAAGCTGGTGCAGCTGATTGAGTGCCCCATCTTCACATGTGAGAGCCTGGAGCGAGGTGGGAGGGAGGCGGTCACCCAGGGGTGCTGCTGGAATGCCAAGAACGTGAGGCCAGGATGGCAGGCAGGGGTAGAGTGTAGTGGAGCAGGACTGGGACATTGGAATGTGTGCCCCACCTCTGAGCCTCGAGGCGACCTCGAGAAACAGGCCAGCACCCACGGCACCTGAGGGTTAATGTCACCCTGCGGGGAGAACTGGGGCAGAGCTGTCAGGAGCAGGAGAACACCCTGTCCCAGAACTGTCCCTGTCCCAGAACTATTCCCCTCCATCCCCGCAAACTTGTGCCCTCTGCCCTGGCCTTGGAATTGTGGGATCTGCTTATGGGTGGCCCCTTGTGCCCAGGGGCCATGGCCACATCCCTGCCAAGCACAGTGGCATTTGCGGGTTGCTGATGGGCAGGCGCTGATGAGTGGTCAGACACGCAGCGACCAGCGGGCACTGCTCTGGGCGCAGCAGCTCTCACTGCCCACTCCCCAGAGCTGGGGCCATAGGGAAGCCTGCCTGACACTGAGGCCCTCCTGCCGAGTCACCCCAGACTCCCACTCTCTAGCAGCGCCCCTCCCTGCCACGCTGAGCCCGTCAGGCTTCACCCCAAGTGCATAGTCAAACAGGGCTGAGGGACCCTCCCATCCAGGCAGAAGCCTGCTTCACCAAATGGCCAGGCCTCACATGATACGTGCCTGTCAGCAGGAGGGAGGACCTGCTCCCCCAGAGTGCATCTGAGCCTGTCCCCTGGTGTCCCTCAGCCTGATGTCACTTCCTTGAGGGCCTCCCCAGTAGCCAGGCACACACCTTTCCCCTCCCAGCACCCGTTCCAGTCCTGGGGGTGCCTGGCAAAGCCCTGTCTCCTCAGCCCAGATTGGAGACTGGACTCGAGACAGGCCCACATGTCTGCTGGAGCGGCCAGGCCTCAGCACTACTGCTGGGGCCTCCACTGGGGTTCCTGCCACATGGAGCAAGGAGAGCGCCTTTGATGGGGACCCCATCTTCCTGTTTCACCGTGTCTCCGAGGCCTGGCTGCTCCAGCCCCAGCCTCAGCCCAGGCCCTGCCAGTCTGCTGTTGGGGTGACGTGGCCTCTCCAGGGATTGGTGGCTCAGTTTCTATGAGGATGTCCCAGACCGGGTCCAGATACTCAAAGTGGAGACACAGTTCTCCTAGAGGGGCTCAGAGGCCTGGGGCAGGTGCTGGCCAGGGCCGGGGTGCAGCTCTGCCTGGCTGGTGCACTGGTGGCGGGGCTGAGGCGGAGACCCCAGACGTGATGGGCCTGGGGTGTGGACAGCACCACACTAGTGGTTTCCAGCCCCCTGCCCTACAGCTGTCCTAGTCCACTCTGTCCAGCCCACCCCATTTCTAGCCTTGTGTGCAGACCCATGCGGAACAGGTGAGGGTGTCTGTTACACGGAAGACTTCACCCCTCATCTGGGGAGGCCACCTGGGGACAGGGGAACTGCCTAGCGGCGGGTTTGGGGTAGCCAGGAGGGGTGACTGCCAGGAAGATCAGGCAGAAGGGCAGGTGGGAGCAGGAAGAAAGAACTTGAGCTCCATTGTGGGGCCTGCTGAGGTCCTCCCAGGGGAGGGGAGGCATGCGGGCTGTGGAGCCACATCACCACCACCGGGCTGGACCTCTCCTGACCAGGCCGCAGCAGGGAGTCTGGGCAGGGTGAGGTTCTAGGCCTTGCCTCACCCCCGGCCCCTGCCCCCTGCCCTGCTGCAGATCTGCGCCTGCAGCTGCTCGACGTGAAGAACAACCCGTACCTGATCAAGGCCCTGTATGGCCTGCTCATGCTGCTGCCCCAGAGCAGCGCCTTCCAGCTGCTGTCCCACCGGCTCCAGTGCGTGCCCAACCCCGAGCTGCTGCAGACCGAGTGAGTGCCGGCCGGCCTGCCCTCTGCACCGGGGCGCCCGGCTTCTGCCACCCAGCAAGGTCAGGGCCCGAGGGGCCTGGAAAGTAGGGGTGTGTAAGAGTATGGCCCAGCATCTCCCTTGCCTCAGCCCTGCACCTCTCTGTCACTGTGAACACAGCCATTTGTCTTTGGTGGTGCAGTTTCACGGCCGAGCCCCAGGCTAGGGGTTGTGGGCGTGTCTCCGAGGTGGTGGCTGTAGCGACAGCTTCTCTGAGCCGTCAGGGTGAGCGTAGGACGACCAGGACTTAACTAAACCACCAAAGCCAAACCGGTCACCGCACAGAGGCCCTTGGACAGGAGCTTCGGGAAGTGGAGGGGTCCAATCCCGGGCCTCAGACAGCGCCCCCGTCCCTGCCGTGGCACGGGCTCCGGCCTGGACCCCTGAGAGCCGCTGGCACTGCTGGGACCTGCCCACGCTCCTCCTGGGCGGGGTGGGAAGCAGGGGGCCCTGGCCCGCCCCGCCCTTCCCTGCCCCGGGAGAACAGGTCCCGCGTGGCAGCCTCCGGGCAGAAGGGCCTCGGCTCCCCCCCTGAACCCCCTGCCGCCGGCCCCAGAGCCTGTTGGGCCGTGTCTATATTTGGTAACCCTTGGAGGCTTCGCCTCATCCACAGGCATTTGGCATCCGAGATGGAAAATTTCACTTGTCAGGTCGCCATGGAAACCAGCAGAGCCACTGAGAAGATTTACGCTGAATGGAGCGCCCGGCTCGCATCAGATGCCCGTGTCTAGAATCCCCTCCCGGGCAGCCGGAGCCACTCGGGGTCCTGGCGCCTCGCTCCCAAGCAGGGCGCAGGCGGCCTTGGGGTGGGCCTGCCGGCACCTTGCCCCCGACCTGAGCCCGGTACCCTCTGCAGCCGCTTGGCCACCGGAGAGGTTGTCTGGCCCAGACCGGGTGGAGGGACTTGCCCCCAGCAAGTGTGGTCGCCGAGCCCAGACCCAGCTCCAGCCCACTCAGCCCCTTTCCCGAGACACTGGCAGCCACTGGTGAACAGGAAATGCTTCCCAATGCAATGCCCGCTGTGGGCACCGTGGCAGCCCACAGACTGAAGCCTCATCCAAGCAGCCGTGGTGACCAGTCCCACCAGCTGCAGGGCAGGGGATACTCCTGGGGCTCCCCAGCCCTTTGGGGTTCACTGTTGGAAAAGGACTGCTGGGCTCGAGGCAGAGGCTCCCTGAGGTTGAGCTGTGCCAGCCCTGACCCCCAAATGCCCAGTGACAGGTGCCAGCCCCCTGCAACCCTCCTGTGCCGGTCCACTGACCTGCTTTCTCTCCGCAGAGACAGTCTGGAGGCCGCCCCCAGGTCGCAGAAGACAGACACCCCCAGCATTGACTATGCAGAACTGCTGCAGCACTTCGAGAAGGTCCAGAAGAAGCACCTGGAAGTGAGGCATCAGCGGAGTGGGCGCGGGGACCACCTGGACAGGAGGGTCGTCCTCTGACGGGCGTGGCATGGGGCAGGGCCAGGAGTGGCCTGCAGAGCACCCAGGGTCTTCAGGAGCCTGAGGACCTGCCTGAGGCAGGGGGTGGAGGCTGCTGTCTACTCGAGCTCCTCTCAGCCCAGCCCTGGGCCCCCAGCCCTGTCAGCTGCACCCTCATTCTGATAGAGCCGGCTCCCGCCAGGGTGGGGCCGCAACCTCAGGTGCCACCCGCCTGCTGGAACTGATCTTTTCCTAGTACCCTCTGTGACGGAAGTTGACGGCGCCAGAGCGCCGGCCTCGGGCAGAGATGTGTATACACAGGTGGACGTTCCTGTGTGCACACGGGCCCAGCGCAGAGGTCCCTGGGAATGATGCACCCCACCCCAATAAAGAGCCGACAAACCCTCCACCCACCCCCGCCTGCTCTTTTCCACGGGCACCCATCCCCCACCTAATGTACCCCAAGACCTTGCTCCCTGTCCTGGAGAGCCGGTCTCTGTGCTGGCTGTCCCGGGAGAGGCAGGTCCCGAACTCACCTAGGGTGTGGGCTTGGAACCCAGCCCTCACCTCTAGGGTCCCCCACTTCTTTCTGGAGAGCACCTAGCGCTGGCTTCACCCTGAACAAACCTTTCCAGGGACCCAATCTGGCTATTCCCCCTGATTAACCCCGGGATAACGAGCCCCAGCAGTTTCTGAATGGTCATCACACTAGCAGACACTCTGCAGGTCCCTGGGGGTGGGGTAGCCTCAGCTAACACCTGACCCAAGGCTTTGGGAAGCCTCCATTGGCATATTGAGCTCCCAGGTGGCTCCCCAAGCTTAACAGCTTGTACCTGCCTTTTTCCAGGTGGTCCCCAGGAACCGGGGAACCCCAGAGACCGAAGTCTGCACTCTGGGTCCATTAAAGCACCCTGCCCCAGGACTCTACACCACCCCCCAAAAGTATGACCTGGCACCAGGTACAAGTGGCATCACCACCACTTGGAAACGGGTGAAGAGCTTACGGAAGAGGTGCCTGGGCGAAACATACCCATGAGGGCAGACCCAGAACCTCTCCCCACTGTGTGTGTGGTGTATCTTCCTTGTGGGGGGCTGGTGGAGGCCCCAGGCCCACCACCCCCAGCTGGAAGCTCAGAACCCGCCCAGGGCAGGGCGGAAAGCAAAGAAGGCAGGGTGGTGTGACCCTTCTAGCCCATATGGCAACCCCAGCTCAGATTTCAAAGCTCTGCTTTCTGGCTGAGAAGGGGCCACAGCTCTGAGCCTTGGAGGTTCAGATCACAGCTCTGCTCCAGTCCGCGCCCCCCCTCCCCCCCCCCCCCCCCCCCGCCACGCCGCCACTATGATGTGGCCTGAAACGGGGCCTGCCAGCCAGAGGGTGGAGCCCAAAAGATACCCTCGGGGCCAGCTCCCTGCCTCTGCCTACGTGGGACGCCATGGCCCAGCCCGGCCGGAGCTCCACAACCTCCGAGGAGGGGGCTGCCTGGGCCGGCTCTTCCAGGCCATGGTCAGCGACTGCGGGAGCAGAGTGGTGGGTGTGGTGAGCAACTGTGCATCACGGTGTGTGTATCCATGGCTCCAGCCTGTGTCCACCTAGAGCCTAGATCTCCGGTGCCAGTCTGGAAGGCGGGTGTGTGCGTGCAGTGGGGCATCTTGGACCCAAAGCAGCTCCCTGTAGACTTCAGCCATTCTCTCTCCAGGTCTCGGGTTTCTCATCTATCGGGGGCGAGGGGCGGGGGGAGGGGTGATACTATTTAACCTGCTTCCCTGGGTTGTTGGAAAAGGCCAAGGCTATTGAATGACAACATTGTCCAAGAGCGAATCAAGGAGTGTCAGCATTTTCTTCATCTTCCGCTGAGAAAGTGTTGGTCAAGTATTAAGGGCACGGCCGGGGAAGGCGTGGGGAGCAGATGAGCCTGTCTGCACCACAGGGGCCGTGAGGTCCCTATGCCCTCCTGTGGAGCGAGGATTCAAGGCGGCAGCTCTAACCTGGGTCCTGTCCCCCTTCCCTCCCTGGGAGTCCTTATTGACCTCCGCGCCCCCAGGGTGTTGGCATGGGGCATGAGGCTCTGGGGATGGGGGGGAGGGGTGCCCTGACCTGGCCTGAAAGTCAGTGCCAGGGTCTCCATTCCTTGCCCCCACCCCTGGGGGTGATGGTGTCCTCACTCCTGGGACGACGGCCATGTGGAACAAGAGGGGTGAGGAAGGGCCTTCCCTGGCTGGAGAAATGGTGTGGCATCGGGGCCTGCACTGCATTGAGACTGGCCACGGGCCGAGGGCCTTGCCCCAGATGCAGGCTCTGGAGCATGGCTGTGGCTGGCCACTGGCCCGGCCCCCTCTGGTGAACAGACTTCTTAGGTGGGAAGCAGGTATGGCTGGGCTAAGTGAGGGGCCAGCCTGGCAGCCTGGGCGGTGAAGGCTGGTGGCATCTGGCGCCCATGGAGGCCTGGGCCAGGCTACATTTCCCTCCAGGGAGCGGACTCCTAGCATGTGAAAGGTCACGTCAGAAGCTGAGTCCTGGGGCCTTTAGAAATGGGTCCTAGGGGCTTATTGGCAGAGACCCCTGCAATTGCCAGGCTCGGGGTCCTTGGCAGAAGCAGAGGTGCCCGCATTAGTTGGGCAGAGGCCCAGCTGGGAGATAAATAACATCTCCTCATCAGCTGTCCCAGGTCCGTGAGGGCCGCGGGACACATTCCAGGCCAGCGTCATGAGAAGCTTTGCGCGGGAGGCCTGGTGGGTCTCTCTGCCCTGCTCTGCGCGTGGACTGGTGGAGGCCACAGGATCCCACAGGGCAGACGCCCCTGCCCTCCCCGCGGCGGACACAGCAGCCAGTCACAGCACACCCCTGCCTTTCCCTGCTGCCCCCCTGGCCGGCTCTCCCCTCAAGACCCGCCTCCGGTTGGGTTGAGGGAACATGGGCTCAGGAGGCAGGTGGGGTCAAGCTCCAGCTCTGTGCCTCAGTTCTGAAAAGTGGGGGGCAGGGTACCACCTAAGAAATCCAGGGAAGAGCCCCGAGTGTCACCGCTGGGCTGCGCTGGACGCGGGTTTCACGGCCATTCCACAAGTGGAACGGCCCCTCTCACAGGGTGCAGGGGCCCCACAGCCGAGTTTGCTTGTCGTGGTTGGCTTGGGGCCTTCTGTGGGGGTGGGGGGGGACAGGGGGTTGTTTGGGGGAAAGGGTGAGTACTGTTTCAGAATCCCAGTTCCCTCTCCCTCTGTGAGGCTGAACCTTGACCCTGGGTGTGGGGGCAGACGGGATGCTGGCCCCCAGCCACACCTGCACCCCACTCCCCCCGCCCAAGGCGTGGAGGGAAGCCAGGGCACAGGTGAGCAGCTCCCTCTCCCGAGCTGGTCCTTTCGCCCTACGTTGCACCCCCAGACCTGCCGTGAGCACAGATGGAAGCGTCAGAACTTGGAAATGTGAGAATAACTTCCCAACTTGAGCCGTCTGCGGGGGGAGGAGCGCCTCGGAGGCGGCCTGCCCTCACTGCCCGCCCCAGTGCCTGCTGCCCCCCTTTCCAATCCACACCAGGCACCCTGTGGGCTCCCCGGGGTTTTGATGGCAAAGTGGCTGCCTGGCGGGTGGCGAGCCCAGGGCAGAGGCCCGCAGCCGCCCACAGCCGCTGCGCCTTTAAGGACAGGAAGCTTCACGGGCCTGCGTGGGCCTGCGTGGGCCTGCGCAGGGCCTGCGTGGGCCTGCGTGGGCCTGCGCAGGGCCTGCGTGGGCCTGCGTGGGCCTGCGTGGGCCTGCGTGGGGCGGGGTTGCTGGCGTCCTCCCGGCTCTGGGTCCCCCCAGTGAGGGCCCCCGGGCCTAGGCCGGGCGCGGCTCGTGCTGGAGTCCGTGATCTGTGACGCCTCAGGAGCCCGCGCCCCGCGCCGCGCCCGAGGAGGGCCTGAGGGCCGAGAGGTGAGGCGCAGGCGGGCGGCGGGACAGGTGGGCGTCGGCCATGGGCGCCTCTTCCCGCTCCCGCCGCCGGGCCCAGAACCGTGGCCGCCGCCCGAGGGGCCTGAGTGCCGCCTCCCCGGGCCTCCGCGGGCGGCCTTCCGGGCCGGCGGGAACCATGGCGGCTCTGTGGGCCCGAGCGCCTCGCGGCCGGCCGGGCGGGTGGGTCGGCGCCTTCGCTCCCCGGGGCGTCCCCCCAGAGCCGGGGCTGCGTGCGGGGACGTGATTTAAGGGTGAGGAGATAAACGGGGCGCCGGGAAGCGAGAGGGGTGCGCGCTCCTCGGGCGGCCTGGCCTCGGGGCTGCCGCGGGGGTGAGGCGGGGGCGGCCGGGTGGCGCCCCAGGGGCTCGGGTGAGAGGCCGCGCAGGACGAGCGCGTCTCGCTCCCCCGCCGGCCTGGGCTGTGAACAGACGGGGCTGTGGGTTCGGGGTTTAGCGGGAGGAGCCCGTGACTCTGAGCTGGGGTGAGTGAGAATCCGCGGGGCGGGCAGGGGTCGCCTGGAGTCAACCGCTGACGGGGAGTTGGCTGGGTCGGGGCTGCCCTCCCTCCTGCAGCGGGGCAAGTACTGGGGCGAGGCCGGAGGTGTGGGGGTGAAGGAGCTGCCCGGAGGCAGAGCGGGGAGCAGAAGAGGCGGGCTCGTTGCCGTGGGGAGAAGGGGGCGTCCGCGGCCGCAGGAGGGCTGGCGGCTCTCGCCGTCGCCGGGCGCTTTCTAGCTCGGGCGCCTCTGTGCACCTGCTGTCTGCGGGTCCCGGCCCTGCCTCTGCGCTCCCGGGGCGGGGCTGGCGCCTCTGGTCACGGTGGTCGGTCTGCGGCCTTGCTCCCGGGCCGGGCGGCCTGCTCGGCTCCCTTGCCCATGCCCGCCGCGGGGCCTAGTTTCCCATCTTACCAAGCGTGACTCCGCCCTTGCAGGCGGTGGGAAGCCACCGGAGGAGGCGCTCCTCGGCGAGAAGGAACTGGGCTCCCCCACTCCACCGACACCCACGGGCCAGGCGCCGTGCTGGAGCTGGGGTGCCGGAGGATCTGGGGTAGGCATCTTCCTGCTCACCCAGCTCCACTTTCCGCTGCCTGTAGGGGAGAGGCGAGCTGAAGACCCCCAAATTCTTGAATCCAAAATCTCTCGCTGGCCCTTGTGGGCCCAGGTGACTTGGAGCGCGGGCAGTGGGGAGGCTGCTGTCACTCCTTTGGCTTGGCAAGGAGAGACCCCAGTTTTTGCAGAGTATTCAGGGGAATAAAATGGGCACTGGCGGCGATGTCCCCCTTGTGCCCCAAGTAGACCCGGCCCCCACAACTCCACCACACACACCTGGTTGCCTTCCCAGGCCCTCGAAGGTGACAAGAAGCGGCGTGGGGCCTGCTCATGGCAGATCCCTGAGACAGGCTAGACATGATGTGGACAAGGGGCTGCCCCCAGGCCTACGTGCAGAGGACACAGGCAGCCTGGACCACAGGCCGGGGCTGGGTGTCCT